TCTAGACTCTAGAAAAATAAAAGGAATTAAAGGAAAATATTTAGTTTTGTTTATAATTTATAACATGGTTTTTTTATCTGATATTTCGTTTCGAGATAGCATTTCGGGGTCGCATTTCGACCTCGCAAACATGTTGCCTCAGCTGTATCATAAAAGCCGAAAACAGTCCATTATCATTATCAACGCGGAAATCTTTCCCTTGCGCGAGCGCGCGAGATTGCCACGATGCGCCCATATAATTTTGGTGTTATATCTTATCAAAGATCTCGACGTATGACATCCCTTTGATCTTTTCGTAATCCCCGGCAGACGTAATCCCGAAGTCCGATCTGATTCCTTTCCGTCCGCGTCATCCGCGTCGGTGGAATTACATTAAGTCCGCGCACAATCGCGATGACGTCTGGATTTCGTTGAAACTTTGCTAATGACGAAAGTCAGAGATTTCGCGACTGGTGTTTATTTAAGCCGCGCGCGCGAGAGGCTTTCCAGTTTGATTTACGATCGCTATATCGAGCGTCGAGAGTCGAGTGTTCCCCGGCGTGGAAGATACTTTCGCTCGGTGCACCGGAGATCCGAGCCGAGTGCATTTCCGTAAAATCACATCTCGGGCACATAACGGTCTTGTAAACAGCGGTTGGCGGAAACCCGGCAGTTCGCTTCGGCGAACTGTCAGACGACAACTGGCATGAACAAGCACCTGCGAACGCGCAAATGGAAATTAATGGGTCCTGTTTCAGATCGGCCGTTCAGTCGATCCAATCGACATTCCTGTTCGAAGCCCACCGCGGTCCTTACGTCGCCGCTGGCCCTCGTCATTCGCCTCGACATCCGTTCCTCCATTTCCTGACCCGTCAATATAGCCGGTCGGTCCTCAAAGTTTGCCTAATGAGGCTCATTCAGCACGATCGGACCCGGTACACGCAGCCAGAGAGCACCACTCCCATTATCAGGCCCCCTCCCCCTCTCCGGTCAGCAAGCTCCGAAACTGCGGCTGCCTAGGATTCCAATCCTGATCTATTCTATCCCTCTGTTGCCGTCATACGTTTCGGTAATGAGCCACTAATTGGCAATTGCGTTGAATTGCACCCTAGACGCGCGCCCAACAAGATTCGATTCTATCCCCGTGCTGTTACACCGTGCCCTTTTAGACGGCGCCAAAGCGTTCTTGCGTGAAACGAGCGGCCTCGCTCTGATGGCCGTGAGCGTTATAGCTCCGATACGACGTTTATCGTTACGGTCCTCGAAATCGACTCGACGTGAAAAGACTCGAGGCTTTCGAAATGCAACTTTGAGGACGAGATATTATTCCTAATATATAGGAAGCATTAGCGACTGAAATTGATCAAGCGCTTTGAAGGCTGCAAAGAAATTCTTTAGAAATTTATTATATTTCAGAAATACAGGTTTCCCCCGCTATCGGAAAACTTTGCTGTAAAACTTTTCGTAAGCCGGAACGGCGTAAAACGAAGAAGCAATTACCATTAATTTATATGGAAAATTATTTACCCTTTAGACGGGCGAGTTTTTTTATTACTTTTTTATGATTTTTATTTATAACTTCCATATATGTATTGAAATTTTATACTACGAAAAATAAGTGGAGCCTAAAAATAGGCTTTCCGTCCTCCAGTCGAAAATTTTTCTGTCGAATCGCCGGAAATTCACCCGAAAAACCAAAGAAACGACAAACCTGATAATATTATGCGCTTTATTTAACGAGAATTATTCTCGCAAAATATTCTGGCAGAATCATTAAAATTAAAATGATTATCAACCGAAAAAATGCGGGCTACAGAAGTAACGCCGCGCAGGTGGTCTGCGGGTAATAAATTACCCGTAAGCGGTAACGGTGAGCTGCGACGGTCAGGTGCACCGACAAAAACCAACTAGAATGGATTATTAATTACGATATTACGTCGACGCGCCGTCCGAAGGGACCGAAGAGCTCGGGGTAGGGCCGTAGGGGGAAAATGAAACCCGGTTCTTCCACGGTATGCGTGCGCTTTGTCCCGACAACGGGATTCTCGTCCAAATTAGGCAATTGTTGGTTACGGCGAAATGTACTTTTCCGTCGTTGAATTGGCCATTCAATCCCGCTGCAGCGCGAAACAACGCTCGTCCGGCCTCCCACAGGCCCAATTTCTCTCGACTCGCTCGTCGGACACGGTCGGATAATTATTTCATCACCGACGAACGGAAACGGACGAAAAGAGATCATTAATGGCACTTTCCTATCGGGTGTATTAATTTCCGTCATTAATCGGCGGCGATTGCGCGAAATCTCCGGGTTTTCTCTGTTTAAAACAGATTGATGCGCGGATGCTTTAGGGCGGTTCGTGGAAAATATAATTATTCAAATTCTGTCTAAAGCCACAATTAATATTAATTCTTTCGGAGTAATTTTATTGAACTAGGATTTTTTTTAGTTTCTAAGAGATTAAAAGTATGGCGAGTATAAAATATTATTACGTCCTTAATTTTAAACGTCACATAACGAAAATGACTAACTGACACGTCGTTTATACGAAGTCTCTTGCAAAAAGAACGGAAATTTATATGATAAAAATTACGTACGAAAAATCGTGACGGATTGCAACGTTGCAAAATAAAACAAAACAATTTTATTCAGACACGTTTATGTAAACGATGTCCGAGACTAACATTTCAAACGGAAACAATTTCATCTAGGCGTTTTATTTGAACGATGCCCGAGATGCTCTCTTTACGAGATCGACACTTTAAACGAAAAACTGCCAATCGATACAGACGCAGGGAATAAAGCGCTTCACGTTCAATTAATTTAACCCATACGTTTATATCCGATAACTGGTGTATTTTAATCGAGTGCCATGCTCGTAACAATTATCATCGACGCTATCTCGATATCGCGAGAGTATACGCTTTTCGTCAATTATATCCGAACGAAATACAATAGCTGGTGTATAACAGGGAGAAACGAGTTTGGAGATATGATTGGCGCTACTAATTATGAGAAAAAAAAATCGGTACGCGCGATCTATCGATGAAAATATTAGCGTCCCTCATTTGTGTTCACGTCCCCCGAACTTTAATGAACATTTGACCGTCGTTAAGGGCATCCGGGACTTACCATCATGGTCTGTAAAAACTTCAACTTCCGGCCGAACTTCCAACGGATCCGCTCAGTTTCCAAACTCCAGTAACTTCAACATCCATTTCTCAGTTGAGTCACCTCATTAACTTCACCTTGCAATTTAAATCCAGATCTAATTTTGCTGCGCCCGTTCCAATATCTGTCCCGGAAGCGACGCGGTCATTAGAATATTTTGAAGTTTCCTTTTCGCTATTTTCCCTTCTCTTTATATCTTCATCATTATGTTTAATTCTTTCAGTCCACGTGGGACATTATTCGAAATCTTCTTTCAAGGGAACGAGAATCTGCTTAGTATTCCGAGTTTGCTTCGTCTTAAATCTTAAGTAAAAATTTTTTCTTACTTGAAGGACTTAAAAAAACGATTTTTAAAAAACGATATTTTTATATAAACTCCACCTATGAAATATCCATTTTGTTTTTTTTTTCTTGCTGATGATCTCAGCTCGCTCACACGCGAACCCCCTGGGTTGTAAGAATAAGGTCAATTTAGAAATTTCTACGGTAAATGTTTACGCTAACAATAAGTGCTATATACCTGTTATCAGACTTAATGCTCACTGTTTCAAATGGGTGTAACAATATTGCTTTAAATAGCTATGCCCGTTAGCTCAACTCGCGCACGCTTTTCACTCATTACAGTTGTTTGTTGTCTGTATATACATTTTGTGTGTTTTTAGAGGTCTCGCCTTAGATAATGAACGCCTCTGCTGCTGCCACAACTATCGTCCCATTAGTTTATATTCCGCGATACAGTGTAAAATTTTGCCTCTACCCGCCACACATGTTACACACACACACGAAGGGAAGTTCCAGCTCGAAGTTAGAAAGCCGGAACATCGGAGGGAAATATCAGAGACAAGTCGAGTCGCGACGACGAACGGACGGACGGACGTTATACACGCGCGAGAGATACGCGACCGCTAATTGCGTTTGTCATACCGATAATTAATAATGCGCCGCTCGACGCCGACGACTGACCGGCGAATTAAATGCATTAACGACGATAATCGGGTTGCGGTGAATGCCAAATCGAAAATACACCGATGGGAGTTATTGAATGCAAACGAGGCCGCGATCAATCATCCGGCTCAGCTACTGGCTTTCGACGTCCGTAATGACGTTCCGGCGCTTTGCATTGCTATCACTGATCAGGAAGAAGGAGAAGAGGGAGGCGAAACGGCGAGCGAGTTTCTCCGCTCGGGAAACAAAACCGAGGAGAATTAAATAGATGACGGGACTCTCAATTGCTCGGTTTACACAGCAAATCGTGTATCGAAAAAAAGCCATCGTCGTGAAACGCATAAAATTGATCGACAATGAATTGTAAATGCACTCTGTATAAGCCATTACCTATTCGCTTCGATTGGTTATACGCTGATCGCATAGCAAAAGATACCGCACGACTGTCCTCCGCTTATCTTTCATCGCTGAGATTCCATACGATAGATCGATTTAATGCATCGCTTTGAAGCGATATCGTAACTACTGTTAAGAAAAAGGGCAACAGAGTGGCAGTAGTAATAATGATAGAAAAGTGAACGATAGTCGGACGATAGAGAACAAGGGTAGCAAGAATCACACTAGTTCCTCATTAACATTCCGCGTAGCGCCTTTCCCGCGCATCCACGCTCGCATCCTTCGACACACGAACGCTTAGGCAGCTTGAATTTCCAATTACTGTTCCTAATTGACACCGCCACTATACCCGTATAGGTATAGCGTTAATAACTCACCGCTTTCCGCATTTGCTTTGCTGCGCGCCGCGTGCATGCGCGTTCCCGAGACCGTGAGATAATCCCCGATGTGCCATCCTCGAACGCGCAGATCCCGCGATTTTTTTTATTCTCTATTTTTCCCCGGTGAGAAGGGAACAAAGGGCAATATTCGAAGGGGCGGAATGAGTAATCGCGCGTCGCGAACGACGACGGCGACGGTGACGGAAGAGACGGCGATGGCGGATTTGATTTGCGGAAAAAGCGGCGTCGGCCGACGGCGGCAACGCTCGCGTGCAACGTCAACGTACGTCATCCTGCTGCTGATAGTGTGCACCACGTTAACGGTATCCCACTGCTGCTACGTCTTCCCGAAAGGTATTCCGGAATGCGCGACAAACGATCGCCCTAACGGGTCTTCGAGGTCAGCCGTTCAGTATCTTCCATTATACGTTTCGATGTAAAAGGATTAAAATTTGTTCTGTAAAAACACACGTAACATCCGGGACACACTACAAAAGTTCTCGCGTATCCGTGTCGCGCCGTGCCAATGATTCATGCAGTATAACCGAGTGTAAACCATCACGTCCACTTTCCTCGAGAAATATATCTCGCCGGTTACGACGCCCATCTCCGGAAATATTCAGTTGGGGGCCGCAAATTTCTCTCATGCACACGCGATAAAATTTTAACGGTGCACAAACAACCCTCCTTCCGTCTTTACCACATATACACACACATGTACGCATACATACATCTCTTTTCGAGTCGGCCCTTAGGGATTAATGATCCGGCACGCTGAGCCGCGTGATGCTGCTCGTCCGGGACACGCGCCTGCTTCTTTTTTCCTGTCGCACCGCCAAAAACGTGGCGCGTAAATTCCGTTGCGAATGAATCCCAGCAGGCGATAGTTTATTCATCGCGAATCGCACAGATTTAATTTTACGGTGCGTTACAGCCCGTAACGTATGGTACGTACACGCGCGACCGGCGTGTTTACGGTCCGCAATTACATTTCGGCGGCAGCGGCGGTGGTGCGGGCTCGCGATACGGAAAAAATATCATTGATTAAGCTCCGCGAGAACACATCGAATTTTTCATCGTGTGTACACGCGGCCGCTGGAAAACGGATCGTCGCATTTGTATCGTGCATTTTAAAATGGAAAAGCCAACACATCGTGCCAACACACCTGATTATCATATATAAGAGGCGGGTTGTAAATAAACGATTAAAAATAATTGGAGATCAGGTGCGAAGCACAGGACAAGTGACATAGGACACGATATTATGTTGTACCACTTTTCACGTACCGCTGCAGAGAATTACGTCGGGATTATAATGTACTATAAAGCCCTTTTTTTTTTTAAGTGATCTATATAATTCGTATCTCAAAATTTAGCATAGAATTATATTTAGAATCATATGCATCGTGAATACAAAGAAGATTCGAAGAATTAGAATACATGCATATATAAAATTCATAAATATTAAAATATGTATATGCAGATGACCCTCGAATAATACAGTACTTAAATTGCACGGAGTAGAAAATTCTACTTTTTAAAAGTTTTTTTTTTTATAACCCCTTGGAATCAAATGCCCAATTTTAATTGATCTGGAGTCTTTAAATGCACGGTTTTCGATAGCACGGAACGTGATCTCCAAAATTGTATGTGAATCCTCGAATAACACACATCACGGTTTTCAATAACACGCAACCAATTAATCGCGTTACTCGTGGGTTTTCTGTATATCAAAACATTCGGAAAATAAAATTATAGATAGAACTCCGGTAGATAGAATTATATCCTAAAATCTGACGTGTGTGAATTATAGATCGCTTAAAGCGAACGGTAGAATGTACCAGATTCTCAAAGTATGTATAAATAAGTAAGTATTTTAAAGTAGAATTCGAGGATTGAAACATTTACAAGCTGCTCTGGTATGTTTTAAACTGAATAACTGAATCAAATTTCGAAGAGAGAAAACACACGCAGTTCACGGATAGACATGACGCGAAACGTTCGCGCAACTCCACGAGATGCGGCATTCCGGCGGGAAGTATCGCGGGATGAAGGATTACATGCCGCTTGGCATTTCCGTCGTAAACTGAATGCGCCAATTCCAATCCGCAAATACGAGAACATTAAATTCTATACGTATCGCCGTGCGATTGTTCTTGTCAAGCATACGCCGCTCGATGATGTCGATAACATCGTCCCGTTGATTCTACCGTCCGTCATTATCCTTCATCTCGTTACTTCGAAATCGAAGCTTGTTCAGCGGCAGCTTCCGTTAACGTTGACCGTAACATCGATCTGCTCTCGTCAACGGATTATCACGCCATTACCAATTTGTTTCCGGTATACGCGCATTATCAAGTAGACCAGAAGAGATATACGTCTTGCACAATGCAGATCTTGCATCCGGTCCATTTTCACTTCGATGAAATGTGCAATAACTGATAATTACTGTCTGAGAGACCATTTAATGCACAGATTTATTTTTAAGAAATTGAGAAGGATATTGTAAATAATATCAGTTTTTGAGAGAAATTATATATCACAATTACAAATTATTTTAAAACTGAAGAAATATATGTGACCTCACTTATACAAGTAATTGTATATACATATTTAATAATAGATTTTATCTTGAAATTAATTGAATTATTGATTAAGTCATTTAAAGAAAAGTTAGCAGAAAATAACTGTCTTCAAACGTTATCGAATAAAGTAATCGTGGCGACTTTAACTAATGCCAAAAATTTCGATGTTTTTTTTTACAGAAATCAAGGATCCCTGTGAGAAGCTGAATTGCTCGCAAGGCTCGCAATGTGTGCGAAGCAGGGACGGCAAGGAGGCGACCTGCCAATGCTTGGAATTCTGCCCAAATTTGGGGGATCACGAGGGATCGGGGCCTGTCTGCGGCACGGACGGGATCGACTATCCGACGCTGTGCGACCTAAATCGAGCCGCTTGTACGAAAGGTGCTAACATCACCGTGGCATTTCGTGGCAAATGCGGTAAGTGTTTCTATAGCGAATGTAACGAGACGAATGTTTTGAATAAGCGGTTTCGATATTTTAAGAAATAATACAATGTAACAAAATTCATTTACATACATAAATCTTTTTATTATTATTATTGCACACAATCCAATTTAAATAAAAACAAATTATTTAAATAAAGCATCTCTTTTCAAAGGTAAATTTATGAAGCGTAAATTTTTAATATGTTGATTTTATGAATTATGTACAGCTTAAAATATTAGACAGACAAATTGGCATTATTAAGTACGTATAAATTAAAATAAATAAATTATTTAATATGCATAATTATAGATAGCGCATACCTTGATTTGATTTGATTAGGATTAATGATTAATCGTTGTTGAACCAATTAAGCAAATTGTAATGTACAATTCCATTAAAATTTACAATTATCGATCTCAAATTTAGGAATTATGACTTTTATGATATACGAAACGACATAAAATCTTTTTTTTTATGTACATAATACAAGTTAGATATCGATGCAATTCTACTTTATTTTGTGGTAAAATTAGTTTTGGATACATATACTAGAATTATGCACTGTTTCGATATTGCATTACAAACTTTGGATTCTTTTATGAGTTATCGTTTTCCATTCATCCGTATTATATTATTCATTGTCAACAAAGTTATCACATCCCACAATTCGCTAGTGTGAGCAGATCTACTTAAAACGCCATTATTTCTACTTTTCTCCAAACAATATTTCGTTACAATTATTTGCGTTCCGGCTAAAGCGATTTGTCAAGCCGCAAAGAGACACCCTTCCGACCAACCATCCCCTAACTGTTTCTTAACTACATCTACATCACTCCATCTAACCCTCATGGGATTAGGATTTCCTATACAGGATGTCTCACGAATTCTCTGCTCTCTTATAGAATTATTTGCCAAAACCAGAATCGATCTTCTCTAATAATTTTAATAAATTTAATATTGAGTAAAAATTGAAAAAGAGAAGTTATTTTTATCTTTTTAATACTTGGCATTACGTCGATCAAGTAAAATTTTCTCATTAGTAAGAAAATGAAAATTTTACTACATTAAATCGCACTTGCTTGAAATTGATTTCACCATATAATATCAAACGTTAAGTTCTTAAATAGATGAGACTACATCGATAAGACTATCGGTGTTTCTCTTTGGAAGGGAATGGTAGTCTAACAATAAGACGTCCTATACATGTATTCACCCTTTAACGCGCTATATTCCACACAGCTGTCACCGTTCGTGTCCACAGGTAGTCGTACACATACCCACGAATGAGAGAGCTCTCCCCCTTGTCTAACCCCTCGCTCTCGAGTTTCCCTTCTCCCTACCACAGAAGCAGTACAAACTTGGCAGGCGTTTAATCAACCGAGTAGTAAAGACAAATGTTTGATCAGACAGGTAGCTACCGGGAGTAGGCCGTGTTTGCTTAGGATTAGGTAAGTCCATCCTTGCCGTTCCCCCTTCGCTCTTTCACACCGGCTCTTCTTCGTAACACTGTGCAATTCAGCGCGCGGTAGACAGTAACGGTTACGGTAGTCGCAGCCGCCGATTAACGAGCTAGTTAAATATGTCGCCGAACGATTCTAATCTGCACTCCTTTGGAATAATCGTCGAGGACATGAGAACGTAAAGAGCTATACAAATAGCGAATTTTGGACGATTTGATAATAATGGAGATAGAAATTCAGGACAAAGCTCTAATGTGAATTCATAACGTATAAGCTTCACTTTAAAGATAAAGTCGATTTTACAGCGGACCTCAAAAGATATAAACTTTTTTTTTATCTTTGTTCTAAGTATGCATCGATGTGCAATTGAGCCAAACGACTCAATTTTGTCTAAGAGATCAAAAAGTAAGTCCAAGTAATGGAAATAAATGGCTAGTTAATTATTTTCTGCTTTTTTTAATGTTATTAAATAGATTTTGTACGGCGTAAAATACTTTTATAATATTTTTAAATAATCTAGCTACGCTGTTTTTAAATTTTCTGATGTATGAAATAAAACCTTGGTTTTGTACAACAGTTTTTTTTTCGCGCGAACTTGGCTTTTTTACTCTCTTTTACGTTTTTCTAAAAGGTATTTTTTTTAAAGCTCCACATAACGGAAATAAGTGGCTACTGTAATTAACGGTTCAGCACTGCACAAGTATAAACTGCAATTTTAACGAGTGAAAATTACGGATGAACTTTGAAAGGACTCGTAAAATGTATGAGGTTTTATGACGGGGACATTAGAGCGTATAGTTGAAAGTGCATGTCGAGAATCGCACGCAGTAGAGCGTCGTAAATTCTACGAGCGTGTAAAGCGAGCGATACTTGAAAATAATAATCTTCGTCTAGTCGTACGCGAGGTTAAATCCGCGACGTTCGTCGTGGAGCTTAATAACGGCGCGCGTACACAGTGAAAGGAAGTGTAATAGAGACGTAAAGGCGACAAGCGATGGAGAGAAATCGAAAGGGAGCTCGGGCTGAGCGCCGGAAGTTTACAAAGATGAACGTCCTCTCTCCCTTCGTTCCACTGTTTCTCTGCCGTTGTATTATACCAGGAACAATGAAACGCAATATCCGGCTAGGAATGGTCGAAGGCGAATGACGGGGTGGTTGGGAAAGGGGGCGAGGTAGGGAGGGAGGAGAAAACTCGGGAGTTCCCTCAGTCGATTCTCTCGTTGGGCGGAAAGCCTAGTACAACAATGGGGTTGCCCTTTTATCAATCGGCGCCAGTTGCGACCCTTTTAAACGCCGGAATCAATAATAAATTCTCGTAAAGTACCACCTCGCCTCGCGAAATTCCCATTCGCGACGTTCTCGCGACTCCATCTCTATCTCTCTCTTTCACCTCTCGCCATCTCATCGCCCGAGATGAGGGGGTGGCTCGAGGCATGAATCTGAAGTGACGGTACGACGATACGATAAATCAAATTAACTCCCAAAAGTTTCGGAAGACTTTTCGGCTTCCCTTCCTCGTTCGCCGGCGCAGTTACTATTTCGCGGTCGTGATTGGATGGTGAAACGGAACATGGAAAAAGAGTAGGCGAAGTCGAGCCGCCGCGTTTGAAACTCTGTGCGAAAGGGTGAAAATCTGCTTCAAAAGCAGCGACGACGAGCCGGTCATAATTATCGATTCCTTATATATAAGCTACTTTTATTAGCGTCGTAAATATATTATGAAGAAGAATAGCGTACGGCGTTGAAGCATTTCTTGAAAGTTTTAATTCAAAAAAGAAAATAGAAAAAGATAAAATATTAATTCTGAAAAAGGAAATTCCAGATCTGTCAGATCAGCAGCTGCGAATAAATCAAAGGTTCTTTTTACACGAGCAAAATCTACAGTTCTATTATTTCTATTATTTTCTGGTTTATTTCGATTACTCGTTTTTTTATCACCATTGGACGTACAATAACGTTTCAGTACCGTGTCTCGTATATCATATTTCCGTCATCGATAATGGCAACGTATTGATTAAATTTTTATTTCGCTTTATCCTGGAAATATTTTCCCAACTCGCTTGTGCGCCTCCGTTCGTCTTCCGGGCGAGTTTTCCTTCAGCATATATCGCAGTAGGGAGGGGTCGCCTCTATCATCTCTATCCAGCTCGCTACGCTCTTTTCTTCCGCTTTCGTGAGACACCGCCCGCAAGTCGCTCCCGTCACGCATATCCCGCCCCGAGAAAAAGAAAAGCGCGCGCGCGTGCTATTTTCTTCACGCTCGAACGTGCCGAAATAAGGGTCGACCGGGAAAAGGTAGAGCCGGCCATGAAGGAACATCGGATTCCCGAGGCGTGGCACCTCGGAAATGGATTCAACTAAATTCTCACACTCGCCGAGCCGGGCTGAGCCGCGCCGAGGATACGCTCGCCCTTGTACGAGAGCGAAAAGACGACGGGAGGGAGGGAGGGAAGAGACGCGTGGTGTAAATCCGAGACAAACCAACGAGCAAATGTGTTTATCCACGGGACCTCTCGCAAACGGAAACCTAACGAGCCGGAAATTCCGGCGGTGTCAGGTTCGAGAAAACGATTCCCCAGCTGAGAAAACGGACGCGCTTATATACGTCGAGCTTTTGAGATCGGCGAAAAAAACGGCGGAGCGACCCATCTCTCGCCGGAAACGATCTCCCCGCGTCGAAGGCGAGCGCTAGTTGGCAAGAAACGAACGGACATAAGTAACGGGCGCGATCGGTTATCGATGATCGTGTAAGTGTCGATAGCGGCGAGATTGCCGCAACTGGATAGTGGCAAGAACGGACGTTACCGTCGTTAAAAAGTGGCGGTGACAAACAGACTGGTGCTCGACAGGACTCGCGCGAGTTCGATTACAGGGAACGGGAGAGGAAGTGAGTATTGCGCTCATTATTCACCCGCTAACGAGCTCCGGTTACCATGCTCATCGATCCGCAAATATCATCGCTGCGAATTAGATATTAATCATGTTGTCACATCATCGCTATTGGAGTCGTTGGAAAGCAATTCTGAAGGAATCTGCTAAGAACTATAATTTTCAATGCGAAAGCAGCTGATTAGAAGAAACGAGAACACGATAAAAGTTATTTTACAAAATAGTTGTTTAATTCGACCTAAATGGCCAAATTAAAAAACTATTTTGTTAGTTATTACTGGCGAAGCAAACGATTATTTTCTGTCAAAAGTTATTTTAATTAAAAACTTACCAATTTGATCAGTTAGGTCGAATTAAGTAACTATTTTATTAATTATTACTGGCGAAGCAAACGATTATTTGCTGTTAAAAGTTATTTTGATTAAAATACGATGCACACTTGTAGCCGACGAAACCTTAGGAAGATTGCGTAAGAGGATTCAATATTCAGTGCGGATTGCAACATTATTTGAATTAATGTTATCGTGCTTCGACAACCAGTTACCATCGACTATCAATCGCAACATCATCTCGTGGACCAGGTATCGAGGCAGTCACCACATTCTGGCCGCCTCTTGACGCGCTCGTAAAAAACTTATCTTCACACAAGCAGACAGCAATTTGTCCGGCTTGCTCCGCCGCTCGAATTCAGTCGAAATTTTACGTCGTCCGCAACCCCGTAAATTGCGTCTTGTGCTCTTACGCGCTCACATGTTTACGCGTCCGGGGCCTAAGTGGCGCGAGGAGGAAGAGAGTGAGAGAGAGAAACATTCACGGATAGGCTTACGCGAAGACGAGGAACGAACGTGGATAGGTCGAACGGAGGCAGCTGCGCGAAAGACGGAGCGTACATCAAGCCGGAAGTACCGCGGAGGAGCCGTTAACATAAACCCAGTCATTGCTCCCCAGACATAATACCCTTATACCTTGCGCCGGCGTAATGTCAATCCGCGTCTCGTCTCGTATAGCTTCCCATAGTTTCCGGATGTCGCGGGCGAAAAGAAAGATTTCCGGATGTTTTCTTCGCGGTTGAGACGCGCACGAGAAAAACGAGAAGCGGGATTTTAGCTCCAGGGAGGTTTATAGCTTGTACGTTATAACTTACGCGCCGTTTAACATGCGTTTCACCCTGCAGGATTTTTCCCCTCTCATTTATTTAATACGTATTAAGGTTCAAGGATATAAATATAAAGGATATCTTTCTCTTGAAACCTCATCGCGATACGTCGTCGACGTTTCCAAAGGGATGGCAGACTTGCAAACTGGCAAAATCGTAAAGCTACAGACGAAATGGATGATGCTGACTTGCCTCTGTCCGCGGATGAAGGCGACGGGGGGCAATTTACAAGGCTTTTACCGAACGCCGAGCGATTTTGAGATATTCCCGCTTTGCAGTACTTGTAGAATGCCGGAGGAGAGGTATGCGCACGGTATCTGCACATGAAAGGAAGGCGTCTAAAAAGGATCGATATTTGCAGTTGCTTTAGCGGAAGTAACTAGGATGCACTCTCGCCGTGTGTACGTAAGTCGGTTGCCCCGCGAGCGTCTTTCCTATCCGAAAATCATCCCGCAGGCTGGTCCTCGATTCATCAAGAATCGATGAATCAAGGATCTTTTAAGAAGCTTGTGTCTTCTTACCGGAATAAAATTGTCTTTAAGATAAATGGACCGATGCTTGGACACGTATACCTATGTCTAGACATTTTTATCATTTTAGTCCTTAAATAAGTTACAACGCGAATTAAAATCAAAGAATCGAAGATACAAATATTTTTCTTGTATTATATTTTTATCTTTGATTTTAATTCGCATTTTACTTATTTAAAAACTAAAATGATAAAGGTGTCCAGACATAGGTCTTATAAATGTCCCGGCATTGGTACATTTACTTTAAACTATAATTCGCCGTACAACAACAATTACACGTGATATACATCGTTGAAATTATTTGCCCGTAAATAAATTGATATCCCGTGCATGTCGCGTCTCCTTTTTTCCATTGAATTAAATGATAATTCGCCAATAATATAAGGAATGTGCGAGCAGCTCATCAGTCACCCGCGTCGCGATATACCCGCGTCGCTCGTCTTTGCACACGTTCCACGGGAGATTCCAGCCGTCGAACGCAAGTCCGTCGTCCATACTGAAAAGATCTTCCGACGGCTTTCACGTCGTGACCCCGGCCCGATAATACAAAGAAATCCACATCAGGGTAATGTCGCGTGAAGTTAACGCGCCGACGACGTAACCTCATACTCTCTCGCTCTCCCTTCTCCCCCGAGGGGGGATCGGATCGTGGCCGGTGTTTCGATGAAGCCCGCTGCTGCAGGAGCGGACGGCGAGAAAGAAGCGGGGTGAGAAATCCCATTAAGGCGCGGAGATCTTGAAAGGACGCCGATGACATCGTTCTATCTCATCCGGTGCAAGCGCGATGGAAGCGATATAAGGACCTCTCCCCATCGCACGAAGATGGAATTACGAAGCGATGAAAAGGGTGGCGAGGAGTATCCCCGGTCGTCCATTAATCTCTAATCATCTCGAGGTGTCTGAATGAGACGAGATGATACGAATGAACGGCAGAGAGATGGGAATACGGGAGGTTTGCCTTAATTTTTCGGAATATCGTTTCTTGAATAGCGCGATCACATATAACGACAATATGTCGGTCGTCGTCTCGCAACTGGACGGTGCATAACGATGATACTTTTCCCGAGATCGATTAGTACCGAACTCGAAACTTAACTAACGCACCAAGCGCCGATGAAGGAGGTTTTGAGTTACGGAAGGGGGTCGAGTTTAGTCGCTCCACTGGACTATAACTCGAGTGACTATAACTCGAGCTAACACCACGAGAAACACCACCGCCGCGCGCCGCCGCCGGGGGAGAACTTGCCTCGTCAGCCGCTTCGCCGTAAGGCCGAAACCTAGTCTACCCGCCTGTAGACAGGAAACGGAATCCAACTTCCTCTTGCTTCCTTGGTCGAGGGCGAAGATTAATCTCGGTGCGGCCGTATCTCCTCCAACTGGACCCGCTCGGTTCCCCGCCACCTTCCATCATTATCTATCCGCATCGCGTTACGCGAGATTCTCCCGGCTCTCGTATATGCAAATGATGACTCATAAAAAGGAATCGCGAGAAAGTTATTTAAATTCATTCGATTTCGCCGGGATTAATAGTAATTCCAGAAATGAGATGGAAGAGAGCCGATCGAATGCAAATGAAACTTTTAGCACGCAGGTCATTTGACCAACTCTTATACCATTACTCGAGATGAATCTTGTAATTGAGAGATAATTAAGGATCCTTTTTGCCGTGAGTAAATATAAGTATAACAGAACTGGGGAAAGAATAATTTTCCTCTTTGAGGAAAATTAAATGCTTTTTCCAATTTTTCAGGAAGCTAAGAAGAATCTTCACACACGATTATTCACATTTCTCGCACATACATATTATATGATTAAACTCATGTTATTCCCGCTGTTAATTGCGAATTCATTTTCCAGACCCATGCGGAAACATTGAGTGCGTAGAACCGGAAATCTGTCAACTGGACGATTTGAGACAACCAGTCTGTCGCTGCGGGGAACAATGTGGCCTCGAATATTTGCCGGTTTGCGGGAGCGATGGCAAGACGTATTCGAATGAGTGCTACCTTCGACAAGAAGCTTGTCGATCGAAATTGCCGCTTAAGAAAATCTACAATGGCGGCTGCAGTTCCGGTAATACAAAAACTTTTATTTATTTATTTTTTTATTTCTTTCCAAGTAAAATCGTCATAATAGAGTAATGGAATATTCGGAAAATCGTATAAATCATGTTACTACATGCAATTGTTGCACAGTAACGAATAATTTCTAACGCAAAAGCTTTCGAATTTACCCTCCTGTGCGTATTAATGTGATAAAATAATGAGGAACGAATATTTTTTATTTAGTATTAATGATTATCGAAATATGGAAGGTATTAATATAATAATAGTGATTTTATGAAAGTGGCGAATATATATATATATTGCGAAATGCAATCAATATAGCTTCTTGTTGAATGAATTTGTGGTTTTTTTAATATCTCACTAGTCGTATATTGATCAAATACACAATTTCTCAGATATCTTCTGAAAGTAAGAATAATCGTGACCGATGTTATATACGGTCGTTCGATTTTCCAGGACACAATCCCTGCGAAACGGCGAAATGCAGCTTGTACGAGCAGTGCGCGATCAATCGGCAGGGGATCGCTAACTGCGAATGTCGTCCCGTGTGCGAGCCGGTAATGAGGCCCGTGTGCGCCCGCGGCGGTACAACCTACACGTCTATGTGCGAGCTGAAGAGGCAGGCGTGTCTGACGAGGAGCAACATCGAGATCGCCTACGTCGGCACATGCGGCTCCAGAGGACCCTGTTCCGAGAAGGTCAGTCTCAGCTGGCAGCCTCTCACACACGGAAACGCGAGGCACGCTCGCGGTTTCCGCTTCCGGTTTCCGCGCTCGGTGCGACGCGAGCAAGATTTCCTGTCGCATCCTCGCGAGTTTCGACGACGTGAATTATCGCTCTCTTCGGGAAAGGCGAGCCGCATTTCGAGTATTTTATTAAATTCGACAAATTGATTAAATACGACATGTAGAGCGCAACCAACGTAACTGACATGTGAAATTTATGAAAGGATATATATTCGTGTAAAATATATCCTTGTTTATTTTTTTTCCGTTGGATACCGAGCGCACAGAAAAATTCGAAATAAATTCTGCAAAAGGTGAAAATGATTTTTGACGGTTAAAAATTTAGATTATCATAAATCGCGTATGTGATTTGATATTGACAGGGATTATTTTCAGTTTTATGAGTAATAACGTGCCACACACATTCCAAGTGTCATAACAACTTAGCTAAATTTAAGTTATACGGACATCCAGCAATTGGTCGACAAAACAAGATTCGTAATCGACGCCGAGCTCGCTCGCGAAATGGAAATTGCTGGATGTATTCACCGCAGAAATTGGAAGGGATCAAGAGTCCGATGAAGTGCGGCAGGAATTTCCTCTCTTCCGCTATTTCTCTATCTCGATACTTTCTCGATTCCCCGCAAAATTCGAAAGCCCCGAGGTGAGATCCTCACCATTTCGACGAGCTCTTTCGCCAAAAGCAATTGTCGCTAATTGGATGACGTTGTGCCGGATATCTCTGTGAGAAAGCTAGTAGTAGATACTAACACAAGAAGAAACGAGGAGAGACCAAGGCTTTCGATGAATTTCAGGAAAACATTCGCGTTGAGTTTCTCGTCCATGTATTTCTCATGAACGATTTTGGATCACGATATTCTCGATATAGCCGATAGACTTTCCGTCATCTAATTCGTTCTTTATTTACATTTCCAATACATTTTTGTTTGCCTTAATTTAACCCTTGTCTAGAGGACAGGGGCATGTTTTTTTATGACTTTTTATGATTTTTATTTATAACTTTTAAACGTTACTTATAATATCAGCATTTAATCTAGGATCTATAGACAAATATAACATCCAATGGCAGTTTATCGTCGGCAAATTTGCAAAAAATCGTGATGCTTAATTGAAACGAGCAAACAAAACGAACAGTGGACAGACATAGCTTTTCCTGCTGTGCAACGTTACCTCGTACACAACCCTATATGTGATTATTCGGTTCGCAGGTGTGTCAATGGGGCGCAATTTGCGCGGAGATCGGCGGCAGCGCTGTGTGCGAATGTCCGACTTGTCCGGCGGAATTTCAACCCGTATGCGGCGATGATGGCATCAGCTACGGCAACGAGTGCAAGCTTCGCTTGGAGGCATGTCAGCATCGACGGGAGATACGCGTTCTATATGAGGGATTGTGCAGTGAGTACCACCGAAAACAAATTTAAACAGGAGCAGATATCGTCGTATCTGCAAATATGCCGTTGTCGGTAATTACTCTAAAATAATAATGCGCATGGAGAAAATAATGGACACCGTTTTATAATCAATGTTATTCTCGAGAACGTGAATGAATAATTTTTATCAAATATAAATGGAAATCTTTTTCTTCGCTTTATAAAGAGAAAGTTTCCGGCATCTTTTAACATAATATAAAGAGGCGATCTAATAATGTAAAGACAAAGCGACTGTGAAAGCGTTAAGATTGCAATGCAGCTCATAGACTAAAAAGTCTGAACTCGGGTAATGTTAACTTTCGAGCAATTAAATTTTTCTCGTTTACCCCGAGTATATTCAAATCCCAATTTTCATTTCCTAACAGCTTCTTTTGTCTCGCTTAATAATTTCGTGTCCATTCAGTCCTTCGTCTCTTTTGTCACGGGGAAAATATATCGCTGGCAAGTTAATCTCTTAAATAGGTCTCCCCCCCTCCCTCCAACAGAGTCCTTGGATGGGCGTTCCAATTAATCGCATAAAATTCTGAATTTCCAATCTGTCCCGCATTAAGCGCTCTTATCGGCACTAATATTGAGCGCTGGAAAATAATTTCCAGCTCACGGCGGGGCGTTAAGAGAACAAATCTGCGATTTTAATATGCCGGAGTGGTCGGACAGCAGGGGTTAATATACGGTCGCGTAACCGCCCCGGCAGCGCGGCGGTAACTTAAAACTTGCTACGACTAATTTGAATATCCGGCCCGGGTAAATTGAATTTATAACGGATTTCTGAACGATCTTAAGTAGCGCGGCGGCATGAAACTTGATTAACGTCGATGGCCTCGCGTGTTCCCCCAGAATTAAACATCGATCGGCCGGTCCGCCCGTATACTTTTGCTTCCTCATGTTCGATACGACGCGATAAAGCGCTGCGACCGTAAGAATCAACACTGATTTGAGAAAGGGGAATCATAATTAGCAAATTGCATTTAAAAAATCTTCGTAATATGACAATGCTTTTATAATCTATAAATAAGGTCTCGATTTAATTGTTTTCCAAACACTGAAATATTATATCGTTTTATTAACGCGTCAGCGTTTCTTCCGTAGATATGTGTGACATGTGCCGCGCTTGATAAAGCTGTGCTTCACGTCAGATATTTCCAACGATACCACTCGTGCAGCAGAGCGTTTCTTTTCTTCCCGTTTCCTCCCTCGCAATAGGAATTCCGGACGATATCGTAAACAACTTCATGCATACTGCACTTGACGATGCATCATCGCGGCTGCACGCGAGCTCGCGCTATTAATCTTCATTTTATTATTTTCTACGATGCCTTTAATAACGACGCCGTGTGCCCTCCGTCGATCCCGGGAGGACGAGGGAGCGGGGAAAAAGGGGTGAGCGAGATTTCATCGACCGTGTACTTTACGACGTTGGCCCTTACCCTGCAATTTCATTCTTATTAATCCACCCTCCCCCCGTCTCCCACTCTTTCCCTCTGGCCCCTCTTACCACCGTCGATATTCCAGAACGAGACCACTATCAGGACCGTGGTCTCAAAAGGACGCGAATTCCTGGGCGATTTTCCGTTCTGCGCGTCTTTTCGTAGCATTCGATGAATATCGCGTTTCAATCGCTTTTCGATTTGCGCTTTCGTTCAGTAAATTTCGTCATAAAACATAATTCTGATTACAATCGTAACGTGATTGAACCTTAGCAAGCTTACACAAGACACATATAAAATATATAACTTCTTTTTCTATACCGTGGACCAAGAACTGATATACAGTTACAATTAAATTATTATAATTAGTACGCGGTAGTTAAATATTATACTGTTAAATATTTATAATTGCGTTATACGTTCTCGAGAGTATTCTGTCAACGGTCATTTTTCTTCCTGTAAAAATAGGGATATCGCCGCAATTAAACGAGCGAAAAAAAATCATTCGTCCCACTTCATCTCCCCGGTTTCATCCCCTTCGCTTCTCTTTATGGAAATCACTCGCGAATGAAACGCTTTTCAGCGCGAAACAAACGCATGACTCGGTGTTGAAACTCAAGGAACGGTTGCACGATGTCACCCGGCGCTATTCATTTCCAACGCAAATCATCCCATACTCGCACAAACGTTCCTTGATAGCCCTACGTAATCACGGACAGAACTGCGTAGAGTATTCTAAAATTACTAGCAAATATTTCAAAGATAGGTGCAAATGTCAAATATTGAATAAACTTGTCAAATTCATATATGTAAAAGTAACTTGGCTGTATAATCTTCGTTTATCCAAATATATTATCTTACAATTAGTATAAAATATGTATATATATGTCTGAATATTTATATAGGGAGAAGGAAAAAAAGACCACAAGATATAAGATAAATAAACGTTGTCATCATAAAGTACGCACAAAATTAACGGAGCTCGATAAGATCAATTTTTTCAAACTTTCGGACGTATTTCCTACTCGTGTTTGCGTCTTGCGGCCCGACGTAGGAATAAACCGTAACATTTCTGATTTGCATCTTTATTAAAAAGTTCCACTTGTTAACATACAACGCGGACAAGCGTATTCCGTTATCAGACGGCAGATTTATCAAAAGCCTTCGCCGGCATAGATGCGTTCAAACAGCGCGCAGCAATCCCATCAAACCCGGTGAACCCGCCCGTCAGCCTCGTCGATTGACGGTTCTAAGGCTCGGAGAATATAAAATCGCGTACTCGCGAGAGTTAGTCTAAACACAAACAGTAATTTCCATCACAAAAATCTGATGAAATGGGATACCGGAACGACGGTGGGTGAAAGTGATCCTCTCTAGGAAGGAATACCTACGACGCGATGAAACCTATGCCAAGGTTTACCGAACTTTCTTCATAACACACGTGCCTTCGGCGAAGAGTGCGCCGGAAAAGATTACTTTGCTTTTAATATTAGGCGAACACGGCAGCATATACATATCTAAAAACGTAGAGGAGGACGCAGGAGTAGAAAACTGTTAGAATTAATGAAGAATAATAATGAAATTTTATAAAAGTTTGCAGTATTAACATTTTATATGTATACAATATTATGGATTATATGAAGTTTCTAAGTAAACTCAATCCATGATTCTAAGAACATGAACATTTATGTAGAGAAATTGATTATAAAATGCCAAAAAGTTTAGTATAATAATATTCGGATTTTGAAAAGAATATAGATATGTGTGTAAATGTGTATGTATATATATGTGTACTTTTATTATATAGTATACTTACACTTCAATATATGTTATATTTGATATCTATATATTTATTATTTTATATGCAATATTTATATTTTTTTATTATATTATCTTATCTTTTTTTTTTAGGATTTGAATACTGCTATACTAAACTTCTTTACTCTCTATAATCCTTTCCATCGTTTCAATATTCATAGAATATTGGATATATATATAAAGATTTCACACATATAACATTCTATAATATTTATCTATGACAAATTTGCAGTGATAATAGAATTACACACGAGGTGGCAAAAGTTTCGAGATATACGCGATCTCCCGTGAATCGCGCGGGGAGCAAGAGGGCGGGGGACGATTTCCATTACCAATTTCGGGCTCGCATTAGGAATCGAGCCGGGAACGTGCCGTAGAATTCGGTCTCGTGCATCGCGCGCGGCCCGGTGATTTTGCAACGTCTGGTTGGCTGTTCCACGGCTGGAATCATATGAGTTGTTACCCCGCGGCATGCACGTTGCATATGCATGCGCTTCCTCGCGCGTTGCTTTTCTCCTCCCGCGGCCCCTCTCGCCGTATTTCTAGTCACGCTTCGCGCGACGATTCCGCGCCCGCGGTGTCCCGTTTTCAAGCCCATTTTCAAGAAAGCCAGAGAGAAGTCACCCTCCAACCCGCGAGAGTATCATCGACACGTCTCGACGGGGGGGTGAATCCCTCTCGTATTCTCCCCCTTGCTCGCTTCTTCTTGCCAGCCGTCCTTCCTCGCATCCGCCGTGGATTTCAATGAATTCTAAAGATAATTTCGCGACTGGGGCAAGCCACCGCGCCGTCGTTCTCTCTCTCTTTCTCTCTCTCTCTCCACTCTTTCCACCCACCCTCGACTTCTGTCGGCTCGCATTTCGGTACCACCCTTTGTCTCGACTACTCTTCTCTCCTCCCGGCCGCCGCCGCTGAAAATTCCATTCGAAACGGATGCCGTTATGCAAATACGCGCGAGAATCTTTATTAATGTTATCCTGAGGCGGTCAGAGGCCGGCCCGCTTCCGTCGGGATGGTCAAGGGGTGGCGCGTGATTAGTGGCCCCAGCGAGTGTCACGAAACCGAAGGAAGTGTTAGTCGAATCTGCATTTGAACCCACACAGACAACCGTCGCAGAACAACGTAGAGTTTCAATCGTCACCGATCTGTTCACAGATGGCTGCGAGAACAAGAAGTGCGAATTCTACAGCGAGTGCGAAAGCGACAAGGGCGGAGAAGCCAAATGCGTCTGTCCTTCAAAGTGCGAACCTTTGGTGAGTCTAAAGCTACATTATATTAATTTTTAAAAAAAATCATAAAATTTTTAATACCGATAATTTAAATTTCCTTGCACGTTGTCTCCTAGATATTTCAGAATTGTCGAACATGTTACAAAGATATCTGCATTGTTATTTTTCCAAATTTCTACATAATGTTATATATTAATAACGTCATCAAACGCATTACAAATGCTCTAATGAATAACGCGGCCAGAGGTAAATATATCAGGAGAGCACGTGACGCGCATTATAGAATATTAAATCAAACGTTCGGGTTGTTTGGATCATTCAGAATTGTCATTTGCATTCGCGCCATTTCAATCACTGAAATTTTATAAATGTCGCGCCTGTCTTGTTTATGTTCCTGCGAAAATATAACGTTGAGAGAAATGGCTCTCAATCCAGAGATTGACAGTCCCTTTGCAAAATTCCAAATTCACTAAATTCGCCACATACAATATATTATTATTGGCGCGTATTAGTCATACAATATGTTGATAATTCTTTTAAATAAATATTTAGGAATTAATTCTTACAACTGCGAGAAAAAATATATTTTTCACAAAATATATCTGTAGTATTTTATGTTAGTATTTTATTTTAAAATTAATTAATGCAAAATTAACGAAATTTTAACAAATATGTTGTGCTCCGAAAATATTCTGCGTTTGTCCGATGAAAGACAATATAAATCGTATTATTGAAAAAAATAAATACATCAACAGATATATTATATGTGTAGTGTGAATATTTTTAGTAACATAAAACAATGTTTAATTTTACTAACGAAAACAATATTTGTCCCCTCCTAAAACTTTTTATACGATTTCTCTTTTTTTTCTCCACTACTCGATACGATAATAAATAAGTTAATTTTGCGATATTGATATAATTAGCCAAGGATCGGCATCAATTTTTCCTGCTGAGAAAAAATGGATACGGAATACGGTCACACGCTACAATCTCGCGTTGTTTCGAGATACTTGTGGCGATTCGCCACGCCGAGGCTCGCTTGTTAGCGTAACCGACGTAAAATATTCGTTCGCGATGATGAATGACCCACTCGCGCTTGCACTCGTATACATGCATTCTCGGCCAGCAGCGATATTCCGCGTTTTCCCAAGACCGTTCGATGTTACGCGTCGCAACAGAGCAGAAAGCCGCTTCGTTAAGTGGCGACGCGACGGGCGAGAGGGAGAAAAGGGGAGAAAAGAAGGGATCGAGTGCATTTGCATGCGCTATTTTCAGGACTTTCCATTAACGGCGTTTCACGACGCCGACCGGTTTATTATAGCCTTCTCCCGCGGCATGAATGGCGTTTTCATGTTTCATTAGTCAATAGTTAATGGGTCTTATTCGCAAAGCGTCGAAAATTTCAGCGGTGCTTCAAAGCGGCGAAGAAACAGGCGTGTGAAGAAAGAAATTTAATTAACATTTTGTCCCCATTCATCCACACAGCCTCGCCGGGTGTGGTCCGATGCATTTTATCTCTCGACGCATGTGAGTTTAGCAAAGAAATTCTAAATAAATTATGACAAATTTCCATTATTCTGACAATTATTTCCGTGACATGTATAAGACACTGATCAACTTCTGCAAAAATTTATACGATCCGTATGAAAAAAAATTCTCGCGTCCAGAACAAAATGTATAATAAAAGGTAAGCGAACTTCTCCAACAAATTGATTTATTTTCTCGCGATTTTTTAGATGATTCTCTGATGCTTATGTTATTTCCGCTAATAACCGCTTGATAGTAACGATTTGATGCGCGCCGATATATTAAAATCCAGTTCGTTTCCATGGGACTTCAATCTCTGCGGATTTATTTGCCTATCCCGGATCGATTTCCGATAAATAATTTTTCGTATCCGGTTGCACGCGCGGATATTACAGTTTCTCTCTCCCTGTCTCTCTCTTTCTCTTTCTCTCTCTCGCGCGTTTTCCCGGCCGCCTCGTCATGGTGATCGTGCATTCAGAATGGAAAGCATGTTGGTTCATCAAGATAGCGACCCGCTCTGCGGAAAATTCAGCCGATCACGACGGTGATAGGCGAAGTGGCTCGGATTTCACGGATTCGCGGAGCGTCCTGCTGACGAGACGGCGAACAATTCCGAATTCCTTCGATGTCGTTCCGTGACTGTCCGTGAGGAGACGGCCCGGGAAAAGGAATAAGGGATGCATTCAACGTCGGAGGGGGAGGAAAAAGAGTTGAGAAAAGGATTAGATTGGCAGGCTTCGTGCCGAGAACCGCCGAGCCCTGCGACTCTCCCGCAAGATACTCTTCCGGGACAGAAAGTCCACTCGCCGGTCGGTCACGGATGCTTATTGGGAAGTATCAGGGAGTCGACGACGCGATTTCTTTCTCTCTCTCTCTCTCTCTCTCTCTCTCTCTACCCGCAAGCACGAGAATTCCGAAACGTGCTTCCGTGGAAAATAACGCGAGGTCGATTACGCGACCGACTGCAAGTCGCTCAAATTACCTGAATTACGATATTAAGTCTCTACGTGATTTTCAAATCTTTTTTGCGCAAAGTATAGATCTGTATCTTAAAAATAAAGGATTGCATCTCCAGTTTTTATCAAAATGGAGTTAATATGTTAATACATTTTTTAATATAAAGCTCAAATTGTATAATGATAAAGCATCTTAGGTCTATTATTACTAGTTTTTAAGATACAATGTTCAGAAAAAAATCGTATTGAAAATTTTTATAGTATCTAATTTTTAAACCAGGTATAGCATGTCATTGGCAGTTGCACTATTAAACATATCAGTTAAATTACTTTATTGAAAACTTAATAAATCAAGTTGCTACTATTTTATATCTAAAAATATTTATTTTTTCCTGTTTAAAACTTTAAACCTTGTTTTCCCGCAATGTTAAAAAATGGATATATGATCCTTTATCTCTAAGATACAGAGATATAGTCTGATAAAGATTAGAGAGTAAACGAGAAATCAGTATCTTTATCAGTATCTTAACAAGAATCAGTATCTTCGCGATTGTATCGTATAATTGGCCAAGTTATCGCGATGCCCTTTCAGAATTAAGAGGGGGTGACGACATCCGCATGATTGATTTAAGCAGATGGTTTTACTCCTAATTCGAAGGTAGAATAATTGTTAGAGAACAACGCGTCGGGCGCGCACAATAATCCTCTTAATGAAACACGAGCCACGGGCCCGCGTATGCACGCGGATTAACCTCAGAAAATGAGCTGACTGACGTCAATTAAACTTAACAGAGAACCAACTAAATCGCGCGCGGACGTTCTCTCTTTCCCCTCTCTGTCTATCTCTTTCTCTCTCTCTCGCGCGGCGGAAACTTTGCCGCAGCCCGCATACCGGATGTGGCTGTATTTTGAACAGCCGTAATAACCGTCGTCTCTCTCGCGAAAACGGCCAAAGCCATCCACGCGGATACTTTTCTTCCGAATTTCAGTTAGATGAAATTAATACTCCTTCCCTATATTTTGCGCAATTATATTACTAAATATTCCAGACGAAAGACTCAAATTGCTTTATATATAAATAAATTACCAATTACTTCTGTGACAGTTACTGTCTAGTAATTAATTGCCAATTCATTGCAATTAATTATGCTTTAAATGTTATTTATCATCATCCAGTTTAATAATCAATAATTAGCAATTATGTTTACATTTTATAAATAATCAGGATTGAGACTGATTACGCGCGTTAATCGCAGCAATATGCATTGTAATCATACGTTGAACTTTCGTAAAAAGAATTGAGTTTATATTTGTCAAGGAATAAATTGTTGCTGACCGAACGGTTTTCACTGAGACACCCCGTACATGCGCAACTGACCGATATAACTGTGGCAGCCGGCGAAGGGTGGCAAGTGCATGAAACGCGCGTGTATTAAGCAAACAAGAGGAGCCGCGAATATGACGGCCAGGCTAATTAAGTTTCGCTCTTTCCTGTGCTATTGCAACGCGCGACCCTTATTCCTCCCTGCCGATCTCCCGGTTTCGCCCTACTGTCCGTCAAACGCACCCCTGCATCCCTGTATCGCGCAACAAGTGAGACACGCACTCCATCTTCCTCTTTCAACTTCTGCTTTTAAATTTTCTTTGCTTTTTTTTATTTTGTTCTCCATATTACCCTTTGCTGCTTCCTCGCCGTGCTCGCGGTCCTATTTTATCATTTTGGACGAGAATTCCCGTTTCACGTGAAAGAAAGGAGGGCACAAAGTAAATAGCATATTCCTATTACAAAGCTATATAAATATTTCTTTTTTAACGTCCATGTCGCATTTTGTGACGAATATTATAAAGCGAAAATTCTATTTTAGGATCAAATTTTTTTAATTTTACATAAATACATTTATTGCCATGAACGATCACGATAATTATTGCAATTAAAATCAAATTTGTAATTTGTACAGGTGAAGGAACCGCCGGGGGCGGAAAAAGTTTGCGGATCTGATGGAGTGACATACGATAATGAATGCAGCTTGAAAAAGGCGTCGTGCACGAACCAGACCCTCGTCAACATTAGCTACGTGGGTGCCTGCGGTAAGCAGCATATGTGTTATATACCTTGTAAATACGAGCTAATGCAATGAGTTCAGATGCATTAATACCGCGATCAAATAGAAATAGAACAATCTTTTTTTCCCTTTCCACTGCGAGAGATAGCTACAAAAATACTGTATATAATGTAGTAATTATGATATTATAGTAGCGTATAATGCATATAATACCACAGATTCTATTAATCTGTGATAATACTTCATAAATAGTGGAAATATTATTTTACGTTAATAATAAATTTTTTGATAAAAGTAAAATACAATGATAAAATTCATTAATTTACACATTTTTTAGACAGTATTTTTTTAATATCTTAAAAATATTAGATTTTACTGAATATATACACACAATACCTATATATTCTTTTATGAAAGCTATCCGTCTACTTGTTTTGGAAACTCAGAATTCATAGCCGTGACTCATCTACTACGAGCTAGCTAAGAAGAGAAAACTTCATGTTTTCCAGAACTGTGCGCGAGGGTGAAATGCGATCACGGGGCGCATTGCGTGGCGGGGGTGTGCGTGTGCCCGAAGGTCTGTCCGGAGAGCAGCGGCGAGCTTGTTTGCGGCAGCGACGCGAAAACTTACCAGTCCGAGTGCGAGCTGCAGCAGGCGGCCTGCGGCAGGGATCCCAAGTTGCCGGCGTTGCACGTCATATTTTATGGTGACTGCGCCGAGAGATTGGCCGCAGCGGCGTTGAGTACGTTATCGAAATTATCTACCCGTTTCTTACGTCGCGCGAATTCCACTCGCGCAAAGATCCCTTCGCAATTAATCCATGCGACTGTTACCAGCGCGAACGTGATGTAGCAAAACATGCCTAAAATATTAATAGCAAAAATACAGCCGTAAAACTCGCGATCAAGCGTATATTTTACTTGCGTTTCAACTTGAAGATACGAGATCAGGCCGCGGGGGAAGCTATCACGTATAATGTTTAACACTTGGAGATACTTGGTGCGCTGAGTATCTCAGGCAATGTTGATGAAAAGCCATTGTGGCTTAACAACGAGTTTGGACGTCTGACGTAACGCGATCCGCAACTCCTTTGAGCGTTACGCTCGAGGCGCGAGACGCTTATGAACTTCCAAAGACGTTTAGACATCTCGCACATGTCTCCCCTGTAATCTTTAGACAAGTTGCCGTTTCCCGTATACAAGGTGTCGTAATTGAAAATAGCTCGGGACGGTTCGCGATCGAGCAGCGGAGACGGTTGTTTAGCTCTCTAATGCCGATCCGGGTCGCGTTAACCGCATGTCATTAACGATTCCGCCTCGCCTAACGCTCTAACGATAAATTGCTCTAACCGCCCGCTTTCTAACCGCTTCTAACAGCGACTAAGTCGACGCCCGCGGTGACACGCGTGGTCACCACCATCGCCGACATAACTAGCACGCAGGAGCGCGAGGCGTGCAAGGACATTCACTGCGACTTCGAGGCGACTTGCGAGCTCGGCCCGGACAAGTTTCCCAGGTGCAGCTGCAGGTTCGACTGCGCCTCCATCTCGCCGGAGAACATGCGGCCCGTCTGCGGCAGCGACCTCAGAATCTACTCTTCCCTCTGCGCCATGAAGATGGAGGCCTGCCAGAGGCAGCAGGAGCTCAGGCTGCGGCCCCTCGATCTCTGTCAAGGTTCGGAACTTTCACAGAAGATCACAGTTGATCGAGACGACAGACGGACGGAGAGCTGTCTTTTAGCAATCAACTTCCTCCTACGCTTTTCTTGCGCTTCTTACTAACGAATTTCAAGTTAAATTTGGTCAATGTATATAGTAGTTGCTTTGACTTTGTAAATCAATATCGCGATTCTAAAAAAGCTTTCCGCTCATACGATGACGTTCGCGCAGGCATGGAAGTCAAGCCTTGCAACGGCGATCCCCCACTGGTGGACTCCGAGGGTAAAGAGTACGACTGCGGTAGTGGACCAGAACGCAAAGACTGCCCTAGCAATACTTATTGCCATCAGACAACGCGATTCGCACGTTGCTGCAAGAAAGGTCAGCGAGAAAATGACTTTCGGCCCGATATCTATTTAATATCTGATGTGTCTAGATAGATGCCAATTCTTTATGCCCACGTATCAAAATGTATTAAAGTTCCTAAAAATTACCTTCGAGAGATATATTACGGTTTGATATCTTCTAGAATATCACAGAACGTTTCCTGACAAGACGCGATTCCCTCGGCCGCAAGAAAGTTGCGCCGCAGGATCAACGTGTCCTATAAGTTTCCGCGACGCTCACTGTTGCGTGTCTTTTTCAGTTCACGGTATCCAGGTGGTAAAGTGCGCGGACTCGTGGCATGGCTGTTGCCCAGATGGGAAAACCGCCGCGCTCGGCCCGGACGGCGCAGGCTGCCCGAGTTTATGCGGTTGCAACCGGCTCGGCAGCGTGTCCGACACCTGCAACCCGGAAACCGGTCAATGCGAGTGCAAACCGGGCGTAGGTGGTTTCAAGTGTGATAGGTGCATGCCGGGTTACTGGGGGCTGCCGAAGATAAGCGAAGGCCATCAGGGATGCATACGTAAGATTGAGATCAGTACTTCGCGTAATCGTTTGACGCGGACGTACATGATATAATATTGACGTACAGATAATGCCATCATTTTTGCATTTGCGTAAAATATATTGTAGAATATATTCTCGCACAGATTGAAGTCTGATAAATTTATTTCTAGGCTACAGGGTTCTTTTTTATTATTATCAATCGTTGATATTGATATTGTTAAATATTAAGGGACAAAATTTAAACCAATATTTTGAGTTAAATAACATTTTGCTATTTTTAACTGTCATGTGTGTCGAAATTTATTATTTCAACAAAACAATATTATTTTAACTCTATTAGTTTTGTTATTAAATTAACGACATATTGAGTAGGAGCAGAAGCGACCTATAAGGATAGTTGAAACAGACTCAGATTGAGTATAATTCGAAACTACGAATTTAATAGTGTATGCGTAATTAACCGATTTAATGTATTTATTCCTTATATATATCACAGAAGCGTTAATTGTTTGTGGAAAATTAATGCGTGTCAATTTTTTTCTTTTTGAACGTAGCGTGCGGCTGCTCGTTATTCGGTTCCGTCAGAGAGGACTGCGAGCAAATGACAGGACGTTGCGTCTGCAAGCCTGATATCCAGGGACAGAAGTGCACAATCTGCAACGACCACAACAAGATACTCACGCGTACCGGCTGTTATTCAGGTATTACATGTAATAATAATGGTTTGAATTTATCATAATATATAAAAAGCGCAGATCAACGGCTAAGATTTAAATATGTCTCTCAACACACCCTTATAAAATATAAACAGAAAATCAAAGAAAGATTTATTTTTCTAACTCGTTTCAAACTTGAATTAAATCGAATCCCCAACTCACGCGTTGAACGTTATTTCTCTCTCGACCATCCAACGCCAAGATACATTTCAAGGTCTGCGCTCGAGGTAGATTTGACGGTATCTTTCGGGTCCGACGCGGTCGCGCTCGACCGCCTTCTCGCGACGACGCCGCGACGCCATAATTTTACTAACATCGCGCTATAATCCGCTTTGCTCTGCAGTGGACATGACACCGCCGATACCGACGAGCTGCAACGAGCTGGAATGCTACTCGGGCGGCCACTGCACGGAGATCGGCGGCGTGCACTGCGTCTGTCCGTCCGCCTGCCCGGCGGACGTGCCGTCCGTACCGGTGTGCGGCAGCGACGGGCAGACCTACGACAACGAGTGCGAGCTACGGCTCTACGCGTGCGGCCACCAGGCCGACGTGGTCACGCAGGCCTTCGGCCACTGCAGAGGTGGGTTGACTGAACGTACTCCGCCAAACAGGTCGCATTCCGTTCTGCGCTACTGAGAGAGAAACACATGCACACAGCCCCCGAACAAGCACGTTCGAAAATCGCTAATAGCCGCGGCTTATAACGAGATCATATATCCCTTAGAAAGGAAACTGCAAATAACGCGGTTGTTCGTAGTTAGATAGGCGAAAGCCCCGGTGCTCGTAATTCGTAGTCGAGAAGAGTATGCCTAATCGTGTGTGTTAACAGAGAAAAAAACGCGTCGGTGGTAGGACAAAACTAAATTTGAAACGATAAACGTACGAGAAGAGAAGAATAGTCTAACGAATAAAACTAGTAAGACTAGTCTCCAAAGATACGAAATTGTAGCGTATTGTTGAGTTGCTCCAATCGTTCTGTAAATTAATCAGGAGAATTTAGATAACCAGAGTTAGAACCAACAGATACAATCATCGCTCAGGAGCTGTCAGAAAATGTAAAATTTGTACAATAGGGAAGAATTTAAGTATACACATGAGAATAATTGTTACTCACATTGTCAAGAACAGAGATCCTTCGAGAACGACTTGTAGAATTGTGGCCTAACAAAACTGTCGGACCGCCGCGCACAACTCTATGATATCGGTTTATAACAATTTAGATTGTTCAAATAGAGGACGTTGTTAATTACGAGGGAAATCGAGAGTAAAGTATAGATAAAAACAACGGCGTCAGTAAATTCTCTCTTCGCGGAGAAGCACGATTAAAGAAACTCCCAGCTTTGCCCTACAAGAACTAACCAGTAGCCCACTTTGTATATCCAAACGTTATAATAAACTCATCAAGTTTTTACTAACATGTATATATATGTTTGTAATACCCCCGCACCCGCAACCGCACCGGAACGACCGCAGCTACTACTTTGCTTGCTTTCTTAATCAATCCGCACGTGTCCTCATCGTTTTCGTGAATAACACCTGTGATTAATCGCGGATGCCAACGGCCAGGTTGAAAGTGAATCGAAGAAGAAAGGAAGCAAAGTAAGCAAATGGACTTGCGTTCAAGAAGTGACCAAAGCGCTTGCAATATAAAACTATATAATTACTGCAATCGCCACTCGACTCGCCGACACCAATTTTCGACTGAGAGTCCGATATGCAAAAAGGTACAAAAGTGAAATGAAGAATCTGAGAACAATGAAATTAACGGAGGAAATCGTGTACCAAATTAATTATTTTATTTAATTTCTAATTATTGTTTCAATTAATTTTTTTAAATTACACATGCATTTAAATAGCTATACGTTCATACATTTGGCTCGCGTTTTTCAAGATCTTGTCACTAGCTTCGCGCGGTGATTCATCGCGATCACTTGAAAGTGATACGGCATAGCGAGACTGTAGGTCTGCAGTTAGGGAGTCGTGTTAAAACATCCCCCGGAGGTGTACGACCACCGCGTTCGCACACAAAGAAAGTTGGCGAACGTTAACTCGCGAAACTGAGCGAGCGCCGAAGGTGGTTTTAACTAAATCACCGCGGACTTCCAGCGTGATCTCGTCTTAAGGCGCCCGTGGGACGTGTTTCCAGAAGAGAAGAACCCCGACATCCAGAAGGGTAACTGGCGGCGGTCCGACGGTCCAGCCGCGAGCATTAAACCCGCGTGACTCGCATAACTCTCTTACCCCTCCCCTCTCCCCCAAGCCGCAAAGAGATACGGCCGACAAAGTTTCATCCGAAATTGTCAGTCGTGAGAGTTTTACTCGATTCTCAGCATTATTTTCTTCATAGAAGTAAATTAAAAGGTCTCGGTGACAGGTTTCATATCGTGGAAAAGATTTTTTTGTAATTATTAAAAGAAATGAGGAATGATTACATGTCGGTCGTCGGTTAGCGAGATTTATAGCAAACTGTAGTCTGCTAGATCGCAGGGGAGAGACCTTTTTCTATTTATTTGAACCTCTTTGTTCCCCGAACTGGTAGAATTATGTTGTCTCAAAACTGGAAGCTTTCCCGCGTGATTACTTTGGGTACCACGGTAATCGATCGTCTCTTCCCACAGACTCTCAACGATAGATGTAACGAGCGTACGCATCATTAGCGAGAGTTCCTCAACTAATTACAAACAACCCGGGAGAGGGGGGAACCACCCCCCTCCCGCGATCGCGATCTAATTTCGCGGACCGTTGATTATTCCGGCATTAAATTTGGAACCCGACTCAATCAGACCGGCGAATCTAGTCCCGCGCTCGCGATAAACCGCGCAAAAAGTACGGAAGAAAGAGAAAGACCACGTCTCTTCCTCCATCGTTCTTTTCCATCTCTCTCTCTCTCCTCCTCCCCCTCTTCCTCGCGCTTCTCAAGATATTCCGAACCCCTGACGAAGTTCGCGGAGCGAAACGTCGGAATCTATTAAAGTACTCTCGCTCGCCCCCGCGAACCCCGATCCCTTATTTTCGATTGCTCAGCCTCGCTCTCTCCCTCGTCCTTCCTTCGCCCACCACCGTCGCCCCCTCCCTCTCCTCACTTTCAGCCGGTCTGGGTTCTCTCGCTGAAAGTCAATCTCTTAAAAAGTTCTTCTTCAGGGCTCGTCCTCCGGAGTCAAACATAAATCAGATTACGCCGTCTTCGCGGATTCCCTCTACCTTTCACTTCCACTTCTTTATCTTCCTCTCTCAACTTCGCTCTAGCAGTTTCATCGAGTGTACGTCGACTTCGCGTGGTCACGGGGTTCCTTGTACCGTTCGATGTACTCTTCTTGTTCGTCTCACCCCCCGTCGACGCGCAAGATCGAAGTTGACGACGATGGCAGGTGGGGAGGGGGAGGGGGGAGTGAATGACAGGATGATGTGGTGGATCCTGGACGCTGAGCACTTTGGATCCTGGTAAATAATGCATGCCGTAATTTCTCGTGACGGCGAGCTCTTTTTTTTCCTGAAAGAAGATCCAGGCCGTGCCGTGGGATATTCCTCTGGAGGATCCTGTGGACGACGGTCGCCGGATATCCTGCGAATGTGCGATATGCTTGACGCAAGCGCGAGTTACGTTACTATCGAGGTTCAACCGAAAGGATGAAGGCGGGCAGATCATACGGATGTGATCGACATTTACTTTTTCATGCGAAAATATTTATGACGTCGGAGGAACATCCTAGAATAAATTGCTACCGCGAGAGAAGCAATAAATCAATATAACAATATATACGGGTTATTACAATCTCTACGTGGAAACTCGAGGTAGTTCGTGTTCAATAAATTGCATAATCAAACAATTGTAATACTGAGTATAACTTTTAATATTAAAAGTTCCAAAGTCTGATGAGGCAATTAAAATGTACCATTCGTTTCGCGCGAGAGAAAATTTAGATCTAGAAAAAGTTTGCAAATTCGTGAGAAAATTCGCTGTTACATGTTTAATTAAAGAAAAAATGGAAAACCCCATTAATTGAATTTTTCGGAAATCGATCGATTCCCTAGCCCTAGTGTGTAGAGCTTTAATAAAGCAATCTCGATAGACACATTCTAAATTTGATAAAAATACCCATCAGCGGGAAACGGAAGAGATTCGCCGATCGTAAAACGTCGGATCATATTTCGGTGTCGTATCCTGCAGCTCTCGTAACCCGTCGGGGTTCTTGTCCCTTAAATGGACCGGAGCGATTCCGAGGAAAGAGAAAACGCAGGAATGTTTGCGCGAGAACGAGAAAAGCTCGTTCTCGTAGCGGAAGTAAATAAACGAATCGATTATACGGAGACAAATAAGCGGATTGGATACGCGAGAGGGTGAGTTCGAGAAAAGGAAAATTTATAACTCAAAGAGAAAGAGAGAGAGAGAGAGAGGAGGAGGAGGAGGAGGAGGATATAACGGGCGATTGTTGAGAAAAAAAATAGCGGAAGTCCTCGAGCAATAACAGGAAGCGACGCGGCAATTGGAAAGTAATTAAAATCCCATTAAGGTCGCTGCGACTCTTGTTAACAGTTTCGCGTTACGCCGTGCCGATAGAATTAGCTTTTCGATTTTCATTATTTAGAGGAACGCCACCGTCGTCGTCGTCGTCGTCACGCTCATCTTCGAGCGTTCGGAATAACACGAATCCTTTCCACGCAAATAGAAACGAGATATAATGAAAACAGAATAATTTAATAGTAAATAATAAGCAGATAATTTTATAGAACGCGCTGTGAAATTCTATAAATGCCCTGTGGACATTGACGTGCTATGAAGCTATCGCGGTTGTATAACTTAATTCTAATCTAAAGATAAAATTCATCGAAAACACAAAGTAAAAACGCGGCATTTGTTTATGGAGATGTATAATCAATACGATATTTTATACTTCAACTTCAGCATTAATTGAGATAGGACACCTCTTTCATCAATTCTTCGACTAATTTGATTTATAATTTCCACGAAGTTTCGTATAACATTTCTTCCATTTCTTATAAGAAGAAGAAAAGCGAAGATCTGCCGGATTAACGCTGGAAAATAAGGGATTGCATTTATTCGTCCTTATCTTGATATAAAGAACGGTATTTTTAAAGCAAGTTATTCACGGAAATGAATAAATGAAAGAAGGAGGAAAAGAAAGAGGAGGTAGAAATACTGAGCGGTGTGTGAGTAGCGAGATTAGGATGCAGCTCCTGAAACGATTCTCAAGTTCTTCTTAAAGCTTTCGGATGTAGGTTTCAGGATCGCAACTTAAATCATTATAGGAAATTCAACGGGCGACTCCAACAACTTCTTCCACGGAGATTTCGTTCTTTTTTTACTCTTCGTGCTTAGATATTATTTTATAGCCTCTTTTGTAATAAAACGGATGCTACAATTCTGTATCGTATACTTTCGTTTATTCACGAGAGTAAAATGAAGAAGTTAATTATTTTTGCAAATTTCTCCCTCCAAAAAAAGATTAGGGTTTTACCTCGAAATTAATTAACAGAGATCCAAACAGAAGGGAAAACTTTTCTCTGTTACAGTTTGATAATTATATATATATTCATATATGTCATCATCGTTATAACTTTTAATGAGAAAAATCGATTATTTCTTTCTTTTTTATGTAATAGAATTTCACACATCATACACAGACACACGCACATAGAACATAGCGACGAAATGCGAATCCTGTTTGATGAATAATATTGCCATGTATTATGCTGATCAAAACCAACTTTTATAAGAACATAACTGATTAGATATAACTATTATCAGGGCTTATGACTGATTTTTTTTTTACTAATATATTCTTTATTTCATCGTATTATTTTGTATAATATCTTACATTTATAGTCTCTCAAATATTTTTTAATTTAATTTTTCTCTTCAAGTTTTAATATATATACATGATGAATAAAATAATGAAAACATATATATCTAAATATATTATCTAATATAATCTAAATAAGTTTTTTTTATTTTTAATTTATTTTCTTTATTGTAAATGATGAAAAGAGAAAAGAGAAGTTTATAATAAATATATTTCTGGTTACAAGCCTTGAGATAAATGAAACCTCTCGATAACAAAACGTGAGAAGAGAAAATAATGGTAGACTCGGAATTCACGAACATTTTCAGACGATCCTATGGTTAATACGGACTTCCCCGTTAAGAGATACACGGCCGTACAGTATACCCAACCAGCGGCCGCCATTTCTCCATTGTCCAAATCCACGCGGCACCTCTTGGTACCGGAACCGGACCCACGATATTATTACACCCACCGAGCTCATCAAGAAACCATCACCATCGACAGAGATAACTTAAAACATGGTAAAGAGGAAACGTCCCTTTCTAAGACCCTTTTTAAAACTCTTTATGGCTAGACCTTTTTTTCAGGAAAATAAGAAACAAGCAAAACATTTTAATTTATCTTTAAGAAAATACTGTTAACTTCCTGAGTCTATAATTTTTATCGAAAATTCTAAAACATTTCAACGTATGAAATTGATCATTGAATCATTGTACTAGGACAATTGATAATTAACTGGATTTTATGATGTAATGTCGTGTACTACTTCATTAACCGTATTATTGATTTATTGTTAATTGTGGATTAACACGATCAAAACGTTAATGCTTCAAAATTGCTTGCAATGCTTGAAACATGGCACGATAATACTTGACAATGCGAAAATTGCAGAAATTTATTTAATTGTACATCGACATTAAATAATTTAAAACCCACTACGCATCTGCTCGTAGAATTCAGTAAATTAGTTCAATGAACTAGCATTAGTTCAATGAACTAATACATACATTAGCTCTATTTATTGATAAAATTATATCAAAGCTATATTTACCTTTCCCAAATAATCTCAAGAAATAATTTTGTTTCCAAAAAGTCTTTGACAATTTTAAAATTTATTTTTTCCTAAGGAAAACTCGAAATATTGTCGACTTTTAAGTATCTTAGTAATGTGAGGGTAATGAAAAATTTAACTTTTGCAGGAGTGGCCGCAGTATATCGACCGACGCCGGCGACGATTCGAGTGGTCACCGCTCTCCTGGGTGATCTGTGCACCGACGACAAGGATTGCACTATACCGAACAGCGAATGCTCAAACGGCGGCTGCATCTGTTCCGAGGGCTACGCGGAAACCAGCGATCGGCAGGAGTGCTTCGGTAAAATAGAAAGTCTCAATTAACCACGCCTAATTATCTCTCACAACTCTTATGAATTTTTTACGTAAAATGTCCTACCGACTAAATCTTTCATTAGCGATTTTTTTTATTTATTTGGTGACACATCTGTTTAAGATTAATCAAATGAATAATTAATAATAATAAAAGAAATTAATATTGAGAGATTTAATTTATAAAGTTTACAATCCTAACTTTTAATTCGTCCAATCCCTTTGATGTTCAATCGCTCACAAGCTCAGCCATCCGATGATATCAACGTCGTCGTAATTAGATGAAGATTAATTTTCGCTTAATCATTCGCCAGCTAATTACGTGCCGGTGACACCGACTCAGGAATTTCGCGCGTGTCTCTCTTATCCCTGCCACATGACCTCGACCTGCATCGACTTGCCCAGCGCAACTTTCGTCTGTATCTGCCGGCCAAATTACACCGGGCTGCTATGCGACGAGGAGATCAACAAGCGGGATTACGAGATACCTTCCTTTGACGGTAAAAGCTACGTCAGGATGAGCCGGCTGAAAGCGTATCACAAATTCAGCATCGAGGTCGAGTTCAAAACATATGCGGACAATGGAATCATACTGTACAATCAGCAGAAAAACGACGGCACCGGCGACTTTGTCTCGCTGGCCATTGTCGACGGGTTGGTACCTTTTATCACGGTTATTTCAGAAATATGTTTTCTCGAAGCAACAGACAAACATATACAATGATTCAATTCTTTTACCGTATGTTCTAATTTCGAAATAATTTTATAACGTACTTTACATACACCAAGATATGATTAAGTTAGCTGTACAGAACCGGTTTTACGTAATCGTTCGTCAACGACAAAGAATAAAAAAGCGAAAAGAAAGATGTAATAACTTCGCTGTTGATCAAATTAATGACCGGTGTATCTAATTTGTAGAACTCATGACTAATTTTGTGCTTCAGATACGTGCAGTTCAGATATAACTTGGGAAACGGGCCCGTAGTGCTCACGTCACCGGAAAGAGTGACCATGAAGACCTTTCATAGAGTGGCGGCTAAAAGATATCATAAGGACGGAGTACTGATTTTCAACGATGGCGAAGACGTGGCTGGGCAAAGTCAAGGAATGCTGAAGTCTTTGGACTTGAATCAAGACACTTTCATCGGGAACATGCCGACTAATTATACCAAGTAATAATTGCAAACTATTGAATCGAAAAAAGGAATTAAGGGATTTTCTCGTGTAAAATTTCTAATTTTTCCAAATTTACACAAAAAAAACAAGAAATTTGAGAAAAATATCTTTTTAATTTAGATTAAATTTATTAAAGCATTATAGCTCATTGGCAAAATAACGTTTCTCTCAAAATCAACTTTTGGTTGAAAAAAACTTTCTTAACCAGCGTTCTTTTAATATATGATTTAACGCTAAAAATGAAAATTTAAATACCAAAAATAGAACACCTGAACAAGATCATGAATTTTTATATAGGGTTTATGACAACATCGGCACCAACCATGGACTTCTCGGCTGCATACGCAAGCTGAAAATCAATCGAAACAACATAGATCTCCACGTGGGTCGCGACAGGGACGTTCTCGAGAGTTATCGTGTGAAAGAATGTGGCGACAACGCGTGCGCCAATCTGCCCTGTCAGAACGGTGCGACGTGCCAGCCGATCTTCGAAGAGGATCTGTGTAACGGCCGGGAATGCAGGAGATTACAAAAGAGGGGTAAAAGCAGGAACAACAGAGGCGGCAACGGCAAGAGTGTCGGGGTGAACATAGTCAGATGCAGGGGTTCCCACTGCACGTCGATCGACCAGAGGAGGACCAAGAAGAATGCGAGGAAAGGCGATTACGAGTCCGAGCTGCAGTACGACAAAAATTACGACCACGACAATTACGCGGTGGAGAAGTACGAGCCGCCGGACTACAGGTGCATATGCCCGCCGCAGTTCACCGGCAGAAACTGCGAGGAATTGCTGGACCCGTGCATCGGCGAGCCCTGCCAGAACGGTGCCACTTGCGACATCCTGCCGCAGGGAGGATACGTGTGCAAGTGTCCGCCCGGTAGAACCGGCGAGCTCTGCGAGATCCGTAAGTACAACAGCATCTGGAAGATTTTTGGAAGAAGAGAGACCCTTCATTGGTCAATCTTGTTTCTTCTTCTTGTTAAAGTAGAAACGATATTAATTTTCTAATAAACTATAATAGATATTAATTTTCTAATATAGTTTTACATTTTAAAAATTGATATCTGATCTGTTAATTTTCTAAGTTACTTTAAATCATGTTTATTTTTTCAGTGGACGCCGAACTGACGGAACTGTTGATTCCCGAGATGAACGGGAACGGATATCTGGAACTGCCCTGCCTAGAAGGCGTCTCGAAAGCGTTCTCCATCGAGTTGTGGTTTCTCACACACGCGAACGACGGTCTCCTACTCTACAACGGTCAGCTGAACAACGGCAGGGGCGACTTCATCAGTCTGAACCTGGTTCACGGCAAGCTGGAGTTCAGATTCAACCTCGGTAGCGGTATCGCGAATATCACGTCGCCGGATCCGGTCACTCGGGATATGTGGCACTGCGTGAGGATCAACAGACTCGGCAGAGAGGGTGTTCTTCAGCTCGACGACGGAACCGTCGCAAGGGGATTGTCCGGGAGTCCTCTCACGGAATTGAATCTGGAGATGCCGCTTTACGTTGGTGGCGTTAAGTGAGTTATTTTCATTGAATTATTACATTTACTTTTTATTATTTCATTTAGTGTCACGTAGTTTTTGCTTGTGACACTAAATTTTTCATATTTTTGCCATTATATTGTTGCAGTTATTACAATAAAATTACGTACAATAAAATATATATATTATAACGTCCACTCGATTGTATAAAAAATTAATTTACGTCTCCGATATACTGCCTGAACAACAAACAATCACGATTGTTTGCTTCCATAGACATTGGCGAGAAGTTCATCGTCTGTCCGGAGCTTGGACCGGATTAGTAGGTGCAGTGCAGAGGCTAATGGTAAATGGCAAAACATATCAGAACCTCGCCGTGAATGTTACTCAACACAACACGGAGATTTACGACGGTCTGCCCTGTCCCAGCAACGAAAACCCTTGCCACAACGGCGGGGTCTGCCTCCCGCTCTTGAACAGTTATCTCTGCAAATGCGCTAGTGGTTACAACGGCTTGCATTGCGAATTCTGTAAGTATTTTTCTCACAATTTCATTATTTCTTAATATTTAAATTTTTTTATTTCTCTGTGTTTCCCCTTACTTCTTTTCATTTATAAAATTTTTTTAATTTGTTTATGATTTAAAATCATTTAACTCCATTTATAATATTATTGGTCGTAGAAATATATAATGTAAAATAAATTTTTTAATAATCTCATGTATGTACTCAAAATATTACATACTTCATACCTTTGAAAGATTAGATTTATTTTACCTTGTTAATAATCAATTACATTGTAGAAAAAATGTTTTTCACAAATATTTCTTTTAGTTATGGGCTACGACGTATCAGGTACCGAGATATCGGAGCGACCTGTGCGTTTCGAGGGCGATAACTTCCTGCAGTTCAAGCATCGCTACGGAAGAAGGTGAGTAACACTCAGCTAGAATTCCGAAGAATTGACGATCGAAACTTTAGAGAAACTTTTCGCATCGGCACATCCTCTAGGATGTTCGATTAGGTGCACTTGAGATTAGTAACCTCGGTCGCTCGACGACTAGACTAATTAACGTTCCCGACTAACGACTACTGTCACTAACCTTCTGATTATGTAACCACCAATTAGTACTAACTCGACTAACACTACCCTCGGCGAGTACTTTGAGGAGTCCTACTCCGACTACGACTTGGAGGAGGACGTCGACTACGAGTACGACAGTTACGATTACACGGAGTAAGTTTTCTAGAGAATGGAAAATGGCTGTGGTGTACTCGTTTGAGGGATAGATTGTTTTTCCTGCTCGTGCATTGTAGTGTCGTATAACAGTCTTCGATATCCCTGACAATTACCGTAGACTCTGAAGCCAATTATTTTATTGCGTAGTAGGGAATGTAATCGATATAACATAACTATGGATACAATTAGATGAGCAGCTTCTTATAGTAGTTCTTATCAATGATATGGTTGTGTACATAATTAACAATTGGTGTTGTTTTAATAATATTGCAATCTTATTGCTTTCTTACTTTGATATATAAAATTTTGAAAGAGCCAGCGAAGAGCTGGATAAAAAACTTTAAAAGAACTTCCCTTTTATAATTTTTTTTATTTTTACCAATATTTTTCAACTTCTCACCTAAGCGTAGAACCTTAGTGTAGAAAAGTATATGGATTCGTAGTGTGAATTATTGGCATGTGCTTAGCTTTGAAATTGAAATCTTCTCTTTAATAAATCCCTGTTATTACAAACACGTTCTTACAGACGCAGAGGACAGCAATCAAACAAGTTTGAGCTACGGCTAAGGACGATACATCCTGAAGGTCTTATCGCGTGGATAGGAAGAGGAAAGATGGAGCACCTCTTTTTGTCCCTGCACGACGGTCACGTGGTGCTCACTTATAAAAGCAAGATTGATAAAGAGATTTCCGTAAAGAGCAAAGTAAGCGTAAAATTGATTTAATAGATATCACACTCTTTATTTTTATTTTTATTTTTTCGCAGACAATTATTTTATACAATATTTCTTTGTCTGCTTTGTATTTAGAATTATATTTGTCAAATATATTGATAAATATGAAATAATAAAATTGGCATCTCTCACGGAAATACCAATGTCTAACTATCTGTCTGATCAAACTGTCTGTTTCGACTAATATCAAACAAAGCTTGATGTTTTTCAAATTAATAATGAACTGTTAATTGTATCTTTTTACGATGCAATAAAAATCTCTAAAAATTACTTTTTTTTAAATTGATATGCTTATCTAAAATTTCCACGATTCTCATTATTATTGGTGTATAATTGCAGGAGAGAGTGGACGACGGAGTCTTCCATCACATCCGAGCGTCCCGACGGCGAAAGGCGTGTACGATTCAGATCGACGAGAACGTGCCTGTTAAGATCTCGCTGGAGACAACGTTGCTAACGACTAACGGCAAGATTTTCGTCGGCGGCAAGCCCGGCCATCGCGGCATCAAGGGCTGCGTGACGGACTTCATCGTCGACAAACGGCGGCTGCAGCTCGCCAGACGGAAGATTGACTTCTGCCACGACAACGATGTATGATAACGAACCCCGAGTCCGACGATCGTCAACGCGACGTCGATATCAGAAAACCTCGTCGACCCGATGACACCGCCGTCGTCGACGACGAGTTGATCGCGCGATACGAACGCGAATCTTCACGCGCTAAATCGCACGCGGCGGACCAAGATCGACGATCGCCTAAGTATCGACCGCGACAAGATACGATAACGTATTCTGATGATCGTCAACCCCATCCCCACGCCGTCGGAGAGTCGGCAGGCATCTCTGGTGTTCCTAGCAAATTAACAAACAAACTGAACGTGAAGTGCAACGAAGATCGCCGTCGAGACGAAGTGTAGAAGAATCGTGTTCAATCCGGTCGAGCAACGGTGTTGATTCCTGCCAAAAGTTGTGCGAAGAGAGATGGTCCTCGTTCACGCGAATCGCACTGGGTCCTTGACGTAGCGCGCGTCTCAGGGAGAAGCAAAGCCACTACCGACGATATCGCACATTCCCGAAAAGAATAAAATTCTCGCAGGACTACATGTGGAATCGGAAATTAAAGAGAAAAGACTTGATATCGTATTTCTTATAAGATGATCGTCTCAACAGGACCAGAGTCTCGTAGGACTGTCTGAAAACTTCCATTCTCAAGGATCATTCGCGGTATTTTTGGGAGAACGGAAATTCAAACCCCATAGAGGACCAGAACCTTCGGTTTTAGACAGCGCACCCATGAAACAATAAAGATAATAAATTCACGATTCTAATTGGTAATGGCGTTGTTCGTTTAAAGCTTAAACGTCCGAGTGAAGCCGGAGCCAGAACGAGAACCAAGATACTTCCACTTTAGAATGCAGGGTCGTCCGTTGAAGGAGACGGTTCCGCTGCTAAGGTCAGAACCGTGAGACTCTACCGTTATCGCGTGTGAAAGGTGCGGACACTATACACTAGGGGTTTACCGGCGTACTGTAGAAACTTCGCGAGAGTACTGCTTTCTCATAGGGCCATCCAATAAATAAGTAATAAGGGATAAGGAGAGAAGTATTCATAGTAGCAGCATTCGATCACTCACCATTCACAAAACGACCACAGTATCGAGGTTCCAGTGTAGAAAAAGAGCTGCAAAAGGGTCGATCGCCTCACGTTTATATTGTTCAGATACCAGAGTCCGTCATCGAGATCACCACTGCGTGGAACGGACGAAGGTGGAGGAAGAGGAGAAGCAGGAGCGAATTAAGTGCTACGTTTTCATCGAAAGACAATAATATATTTTTAAGGTGACGAAATTAATATACATATGTGTACGTATGAATCTATCTGTATACGCATGCGCGCACGAGCGGCGCGGATTTAGCGAAAGAGAAAGAGAGCGAGGTCTGTTCGAAGCGCACCTCGTTGTAGAACCTGTATTTATAATTATATTGTACTGAAGCACCTAAACGTTTTACGATGCCAAGACTGACTAAAGCGACAGGCGCACGCGGGCGACGAGAAGCGACGACGACGACGACGACGACGACACGAAGAAGCGAGGGGGGAGAGAAAGAAAAAAAAGGAAAGAAACGATAAATCGGTGTTATGTTTGAGTGTTCGGTAGAGAGATTTTAATGGATTTCCCGAAATAGAGGAAATATGTATTTTAAAGGACTTGTTGATTTATCGCCAGTATAGTAGACAAACTCACGCGACACGACACGTTGTTTTTAGGTAGGGGAGGCTTTTTACAAATGCGCAAGAGAATAAATATATATAAATATATATATTATACGTACCACTTATATATACAGAAGATTCTACATTCCATTCGATGGACCGAAATCGAGGTCGAGTTTTACGTACATAGACAGCTGTTGATCCAACGTGAACGTAGATCTCGCGAGTTGTAGATCTGAAAATTTTTTTCGTAATCGCGAAAACCCGTTTCTTACTTTATGAAAAATAAGCAGTCGTTTAAATTTGTAAAGACTGGACGCTTATATTTATTTCTTTAACAACCCGCGGCTTCAGTTTTCATTATTAAACGTCTAGTATTTACATAATTATTTACATCAAGTAATTATTATAATATTCGAAAATATTCGACTTTAATTATCACGATTTATATTTCCTAGTTTACGTAATTATAATTAGTCGCATATGACGACCCAATCAATTGAGCTGATAAATCAAGTATTAGTTTCAAATATAATTTCAGGATTCTATTTTAAGATATATAAAACGCTATTTTAAGGGATTGGTCTTATCTCATTAATTATTATTAATTTGAACGCGAACGGTCTTCTCGCGAAAATTACGCCTATGCATGTCTGCATTACGACGGGATGCAAGAGCCAGATTTTTCCGCATAGCGGCAACAATCTGCAAGCGAGCCCGATTTAATTCGCATACGGAAATCCAACGGCGATGCGTGCACGAGCGGCGAAAGAGAACGCGATGCGCGGGAGAGTGTTTGCGCGAGTGACCTGTAAATAATTTCCGCACGCGCAGCTGAATAACGAATTTAATTATTCGTTTTAGAGTGTACCATACTATAACCGGACCTAAAGATTATCGTAACGACCTAATTATCGTAACCAATTCACGGATTAGCCTTCGAACGATGCTCGCGATGCGCATCATTTATTTTTCGCGTGACTCAAGAGAGCGCATTATATGCACGCATATACATAAATTAATATATATATATATATATGCATATACAATGTATGGACAACCACACGCACGCATGTCGAGCTAATGTGAACGTGTTTTTCCCTTCGGACGGAATAGCTAAGCGCCTAAGTTAATCGACGTGAATTTATTCCCATCTCTTGTAACCCGCAACCGTTGTTGATAATTTAAAGACCGTCAGACGTTTCCATCCTCATCTCTTTCCGCGAACAGAGCACTAAGATGCGCCAAACCCTATTATACAAACAATAAATTATAAAAAAAGAAGCTATAGTTAAGATCGTTGAAGAACCGCTTGAAAAAAGATATAAATTTCGTTTCGTTCCTCGAAAAAATTCATAGAGAAGTGTCGGTAGAATCGCGGAGCGCTCCGTTTTCCAGCGAAATCATTGATTCTCGATCTCACGAGTCTCGCGGCAACGAGACACGCGAACAACGGGACGGGAATCGGCTAAAGTGATGGGACATGACGGGCTGGAAACGTTCGGCGGATGTTTACATGATTACCATCGGCGGTACGCGAGCGGCGGAAACACTTCCTTCCGGTCACGTAAACGTCGTGAAATGAGATCGTAGCAGGGCCCCTTCGAGAAAATCCCGTTGTACACCGGCACGTTTGACGACGCGCGTCTCTAAACCCCCCCGATAACGCGTGACGTTGAGAGACACCGTCGAATTTCGCTGTTTTCCTACCACCGAGAGAGACCGTAATCCACTTTAGTTGCTGCCGAGCGTCGTGACGTTATTCGCTCGCCAATATTGTGCTAATCCCGCAGAAAAGACAGGTCGATTAGTACAGAGAAAGACACAGTGTTTCCCCGTGTAAAAAAAAAGAAAAATATACACAGCGAATTTGTTCCGATATCAAAAACACGTTTGTCGAAAAGAATGACGTATTTAATCGCGCGAGTTTGAAGTAGAAAATACAGCGTGTGATCAAACACGAAGTGTATATATCTACGAAAAAAGACTTTTAAAAATAATATATAATACGTTTGCAAAAGAAAAAAACTTCGCTAAATCGCGAAGTAATCGGGACAAAATCGCACTGTTGGCAATCGAACTTAATGCAACTCGATCTAAGAAACCGCTATGTAATAGTGATCGCAATGTAATTCGCGAGTACTGCTGCAATAGTTACACAGAAGGAGACAACGATTGCTCGCTTCTGTAAGGAGCAATATCACAGGGACGATCGATAAAAAAAACTACGCAACGTCCATGATCGCGACATATCGATCGTCGTCGTAAATCGTTCGTTGTTAACATCTCCGGAGACAATGTAAAGGCTTGATTCAAACTACGGGCTCAGTGACGCTTCGCAATAGCGCAGATTTAAGAAATTTAATGGATGTCCAATCGCAATCTCGAAAACCCAATCTGGAAGATATGACAATTTAAACATATGATTTAGATAGGAAAAAGAGATACTTTGGGTAGATAATTCGACTTTTTTTTTTATGTGTAATGTATAAAATAAGATTGATATCATAATGTAAGACTGCGTTTTTTCCTCAATTTTATAAGATAATTATATAGTTAAACTTATGTTTATTAAATTACACTTTACAACATAATCATAAAATTCTGAATTTGCGTAAAAATATAAATTTTTATATACGTTGGATAATTATTGTTCATAAAATAGATAATTAATGCGTTGCTTGATTTAGAGATATTATAGAATTAATTATAATTGAGTATAAATAATATAACAATATGAGAAAGTACATATGTAATAATATATAGGATTATATATAAGTTAGCGTAAAATTATTTTTTTATGAGTATATTGAACGAAAGTAGCCTTACTTTCCGAAACTCTTTTCCACATCTCAATTCAATTAAATCCGTCCCCGATAGTGTGAATCAAGCCTTATTAATTTCGGCCCGTATTGACATCCGACGTTAATTACCGCTAAACGTGTCTATCTGTTTGTAATAAGGCCGACGACAGGCCATCCTCGTCGTAATAATATAATAGCGAGAATGAAAAACAAGCTAAAACAGCCGTATTCGGCGCTAAATGTAGAGAGGATCGATGTGCGGCCTGGAAAATACGCTTACATGTGAAATTGCGGCGAACATCGTCGGGTTCCCTTGACCCGTATTCGAACATTCTTTGTATACGTATATGTTGTGGTACTTCACGAAAGTTCTAATTACTTCGCCGAAGAGCCGAGAATTCAACGTAAAATGCGAGAAATGTATTAAAGGATTCCTAAATATCGCCGCAAGTAAAAAGATAATGAGGGTACATCTTCGCAAAGGTGCTAAGAATTTTTGAATTACGTCACGGCTCACCGCGATGTAATTAAACTCGTGAAATATGACGCTCTTACGGCATACCGATCGCGATCGCGATCGCTGTCCAATTGAACCATATCCGCAAAAGCAACGCGAATATCAATCGCGCGCGCAATATCTCCATACACATATCTCCCTCCCTTTTCGACACGCGACTTTTTGTCTTTTGGAAGGTTTTTTACCCTCTCTCTCCGTTTATCTTATCGTCGACGTATCGAACTGCACCAGCGAACGTGCCCCCCCGCGAACGAGAACCGAGAGAGACTCAACGGAGAAAAGCAATTAAAAAAACATCTTTATCCTATCGCAATTTTTGCTCATATTTGTAATCGGGGACGAGATGGAGAAGAGAACGAAGGAAGACTGTGCGCTTCTCGAGACTCTATGCACACTTGTTGCGAATTACATATCCAGATATTTTTGATATTCTCGAGGACAATTCTTCGTTTACTTTGTATGTACTTTTTTTTTTATCGGATATTGATTGAGTTCTCCAAATTACGAGGAAGCGTTGAAATTATACGTGACAAATATCTACGACTGAGACTTATTTCAGTGAGCGAAACTGCCGCTTCGCGACCGAGTCGAAGAAAGGCGCGGAGAACGGGAAGAAAGAAAAGATATGTTGGCTTCCGTTGCAATATACGACTAACGCTACTGCCAATATAGAGATAGAGACCCTAACGATCGATGTTTTTTTTTCTCGGAAGGTGTGTACATTTCGATGATCGAAGTATATTCGCGCATCATCGAGCGCTGTGTCGAACTTGCTGCCTTCGAAAATGCGAGAGATTCTCGGCCTCCTATTCTCACCGCGCTCGTTTGGCGTCGAAGACGACAATTTGCCGGTATACATTGAAATAATAAATGTTCGCGATTCGGCGAGCTTCGTCAGCCCGATATGAAAATTTGTGGCGAAATTCGATCAATCGTAGCGCTGAACACGCGGTGAAAATACGAGGCCCCCGGTCTGTCCTGCAAACACGCGTTGAAGAAGCTTATCGAAAGCTTCCGCTTGGACGGACATTAAATATCCCATTCAGCGTCGTCGCCCATCTTTTTCGCGCGAGATATACGCGGCGGGACGCCCCCTCTTATTAATTAGTTTTTCTTTTTTACTTTCATATCGTCTTTACCGAGATCACCTGGCGTTCGCTGAACCTAAAAGTAATCGAGCTACACTGTGTAACAAAGTGCGCGTTGTAAAGTGACTGTATATACAAATATAAATTATGCGATTACCTTCCTCGCGCACGTTTTTTCTTCCCTCCTCTAAAATCTGCTCTTATTTAAGATCGAACTCCTCGAAATGAACAGGAAAGTACAGGTGATCCTCGAATAACTCGATTAATTGGTTTCATGTTGCTATAAAAACTGTGCAATTTAAAACTCCACGATTTATATAAAATCAGACATTTAGTTCCAAAAAGTTATTTTAAAAAAATTTTCTAAAAAGTTAAGAGTTATTATGCTGTTATTCGAGGGCCACCTGTGTGTACCAGAATATACATATAATGTTATTTAAGTATCTTACATTTAGATAAAGATGTACAGGATAATTGCAATATAATGATCGCAAAATATCTTTAAACGGCATAAATTATACGAGATACTAATTATTTATTTACATAGCTAACGGACCATTTACATAGCTGACAGCCCCAACGAAATATTCTATAAAAATTATGTTAATTGCCCAAATTATTTTACTGTATCGCATTAACGTATCTCACTCGCGCCACTCGCGAAAATATTTACACCGACATCCGCACTCATTCATTCTCAGTGTACAAAACCGTCAAGAGTCGAATACAATAATTATATACTATACTGGTCATTCTCGTATCACTGTGAAATATAAACGAATAAATACAGGCCGAACTGGATTGTGTGGTAACCCCGATTGTGGTAACCGCGAATGTCGTTTGATGATCGATAACATTAATAGAGAGAAACAGTGGTAATTTACATTAACTATCCAGGGCGTTGTTTCGGGTTTCCTCAAGTCGTTGATTATACTCCTTACGAATTTCTTCGATGGGTTTGAGTAAAAATATCGGTACATCATCGTCTCTTCTCTGTGGGAAAAATCAAATTGATGTCACATAACACAGAATAATAACGATATTAAAAGTAAATTTGTTATCAATTTTTGTCAAATTTAATCTCTGCTAAAATAATTTGTAACTAATTAAATAAGAAAAGCATTTAAATATTGAAAATGTTATTCGTCCAATTACCTGGAAAAGACATTCGCCTTCGAATTCTACATATTTCTGCTTTCTCGCTCTCAATAGCAGTCCTACGCATTTGTCGTTGATATTAGTATAAATATTAAAGAGGTCGCCGAACGTGATGGCGATTACGTCAGGTTGATCCCGACAGGGACTGCCTTCTTGAGCAATCATTTCGCAGAGTTGCAGGATCTCCTTCAAGACATGGGCGTTCGCTTTGCGACCGCGTAGATCAGACAAGGAGCCTGCTTCTGGTCTGAAAGAAGCGAATTAATAGTTACCATTGAGTTAATTACTCAATTATATATATTCACATAAAGCAGTTATATCGTTTTAAATTTGTTACAAATGTCGTTAAAGATATAAAACTTACATAGTAGTGTGTAACACTTACAAACTACAAATTTCACGTACCTGCCATATTCCTCTTTCGAGAATTTCGGCTTTTCGATGTTCAAACCAGAAGTGAACGGGTTCTTGCTCTGCTTATCTTTATGTTTGTTGGCATACTGGTTGAACATAGCAACCTTGGCTCCCAAGGATTCCTTCAAAAGAGAGCAAGCACGTTAATTATTAATTCATTATTCACAGTCGATTAAGACATATTATAGGTCAAGAATTTCATTTCGTAGAATACAATTTGCTTGCACAAAGGATTCTGTAAAGTTTTATATGCAAGGAACTAATAAAGAGATAAAATACTTTTTTTTGAAAATTTTTGATTCAAGATGTTTCGACGGAGATTGCAAGGAGTGAGAGTTGGGAGTTATTCAGTACCTAATAAGACAGGCATTTCTGGGAATCTGCCAAACTGACATAAGCCTAAGGATTGACCCTGACCATAAATGACGTTTCAATGGCACCTTGACAAATTTTCACAGTTATGTATAGTTACATTCATATTCGTGCATTCATATTCGTGCATCTATTCGTTTCAGAAGATAAAAAGTTTTATTTAAAAAAAAAACTAAATTTGTCTTTTTTTTTTAAGAAAAATTTCCAGTTAATAAAGAAACCTAAATTAATAGATTAACAGATTTATATTTATTAAAAATATCTACACTCTAAATTACGTGATGTTTTACAATCATACAGAGAGATGGTTTAGTAAAAATGTATTAAAGTATCCATGATAGAAGTATCCTTCTATCATCTTTAACATTATCGATTTAAGTATGTGGATTTAATTTCCAACAAAGAGCTATACTTATTTTAAAAACTGATAAAAAATCGACGCGTAGTTTACTAAGTTTAGAAGAAGTATGAAAAACTCACACATTATTATTAGTCTACCAAGATTCAGTCTGGACCATAAGGTAAATGTACCAATGCCTGGACACGTACGTCTGGACATTTTTATCATTTTAGTCTTTAAATAAGTTATAACGCGAACTAAAATCAAAGAATCAAAGATGAAAATATGTTTCTTGTATTATATTTTTATCTTTGATTTTAAATCGCGTTATATTTATTTAAAAACTAAAGTAATAAAGGTATCCAGACATAGGTCTCAAGTGTCCCAGCATTGGTACCTTTACCTTAAATGGCATTTTTCTCTCTAGTTGGTTATTTCAAAGTGCCATCGCTAATCCATTTCCCAATGATGTAATCGAAGAAGATATCTCGATACTCACATACATCGCCGAAGACATTATAATGTCGTGATTATTTCAACAGAGTCGCAAGAGAATAATGCTCGACGTGTAACAAAGGAAGCTGAGCTTTCAAGTAGTAGAAACTATCTTGACTATCGACTCCCACTTCCGGTACTCCGTGTACTACCAAGTTCACTCGACACTGCCGACGCGAATACGACGTCGTCGCGACGCCGCGCGTCTCTTTTTATAAGAAACCGACGCGACGGTGTTCCAAGGGGGCTCCCACCCTGCCGCGGTATTTCGGCGCTGTCCGAAATATTTGCCACGTTTCCGAGCCGATTCCCAGACTTGATTGGTTGCCAGACGGCCTTCAGCCCGCTCCGGAAATGATAATTCATCAATCGCGAGAGCATGGAATCATTCACGTTTCATTCCGCGCCTTCGGGAATCAGTTTCGCAAAACGGAACGGATCTCACCCCGCGTTTGTTTATCGGACGAACGTATCACCGGCGATATTTCGCGGGAAACAGTACACTAACATTTCCGGGAATGTCACTCTGTATTCGCCGCCATAAATTTTCCTTGCTAATCATAACTGGGAATCGTGATATCAAAGTTTAATATTAAGCTGCAAGCAAAATCTATCAAATATATATCTAATTTTTTTTCTTTATAAAATAAATTTTTCTACATAAGATGCATTTTGTTTCTCGTAATATATCATTTGAATGTTCAAATCTTTTCCGATCAAAATGACATATATACAAAGATAATTAATAATATAAATCTTTAACATTGAAATATTTATTTCTAATTTCTAAAAAAAGAGATTCTGAGATTGGCCTAGCCTTTTATAAGCACAAACCTAAATTTACGATCGCGGGTAAATAATTTCACGAAAGCGTCGGCGTCGATGTCGCAAAAGAGGGCCATAAATCGATTGGCGATGCAATTATATCGGATCGCGTGCACGTTCCCCAAAATACCGGCCCTCACGCATGACGATCGCGTGGCCATTCGGGAACCTGAGTATACACATGCCTCTAGCAGTAGGCGATACAACGCGTACTCAGCAGAGCACGACTCGAATTTAATCTCCCAAATTAATTTTTGACCGACGACAATTTGTCACTGACAGACGGACGATGTACGAGCTGAATCGCGCGAGCTCGAAAGCTCGTAAATCGCGAAGGCACGAGGGTAGTCCACATTAATAAAACACCTTGTAAATATCCCACGTGCCCTTAATTTATCGCCTAGGAATCGGATAGATTTGTGGATAGATTCTCCGGCGTGCGTGACCGCTTTATCCATCAGTCACAAAGTTACCTCGTTATCGCGGTGAATTGTGTTTCCATTTAGCACTCAGCAATACGCATTGCAATAAAACTTTTCAATTATTTTGTTAATTATAATATCAAATAGTAGAGAGAGAAAGACCAGAGTTAAAACCTCGTTATCGTGGTGAATTGTGTTTCCATTTAGCACTCAGCCATACGCATTGCAATATAAAACTTTTCATTTATTTTGTTAATTAATATCAAATAGTAGAGAGAGAAAGACCAGAGTTTTAACCCTTCGTTCCACTAGGTGGGTCGTTTTCGTCCGGGCGAAAATCAAATGCAGTTGTAACTTTTGAAAACGGGCTCCATTCTTTTAATATAAATTATGTGAAAAAATTAAATTGTTTATAATTTTATGATTGATACTTCAAATTGAAGGTTTGAATTACCTCCATGAATTTTTTTAGATTTTTTGTAACACTTTAACATTTAAAAAAAGTTTCGTCAGGACGAAAACGACCCACCTATGCGGCGTAAAGGTCCCAAAAAAACCTAGGGAGGCGAAGGGTTAAAACTGTAATTGAGTAAAACTATAATTAACAGATTAAAACTATAAATCAAAACTGTAATTAATTTATAGTTTGAAAGACGTAATATAAAAATGAAAATTTATGATAGCGCTATTAATGAAATATTACTTATATTTATTACTTTCGCGAGAATTTAATTTAGAACGCAGATCCATCTTGAATGAATATTCATTTCGCGAGAAATACCACGAAAACATCCGCACTGATGACCATCCGTAAAAGGAGCTTCAAGAAGCTGACGCTTATGACGTCGGATTTTCAACACTCCTGAAATCGCTCCGGAATTAGATCCGTTTCTGCTCTCATAAACAAACGTACGTACGCAAATACGTCACGATACCCTCGTAGTTGCGATACATACAAGCCCAAGAATGCGGATACGTACGCGTAATTCACATTTATTTCTTAAGAAACATATTCTGATTTAAAAACCGCTCCCTTGAGAAAAGATTTCGGGAAAGATTTATTTTAAATAAGAATTTTTAATAAGCTTTTTATATATACGAGTATATTTAGAAGCAATTATTCTAGAATGTCATACATACACTTTCCTCATATTTGAAAAAGACACTTGTTTTTAGATTTTTGCTTTCCGTTTCAATTTCAATCTTCTTTATCCAATAATAATATCAAACAATCTTTTTACTCAAACTGCTCGATTCTCAATTGAAACGCTTATAACTCTGTCAATTTTGTAAATATCATTTAAAAAATATTGCAGAAACATATTTTTAATATCCAAAGTTTAAAGGAAAAAGTTTTTTTTTAATTTTAAAGTTCCTTAAACCTTCTTTTTATTCGTTTACTCGTGAATCGAGGAAAATCTCAATTGGACGGAATCAAGGAATTCAATTTTAGTACGATAAAATCTTCGGAACAAATTTAGAGATCCGGAGTTATAAATATATACTATTTAAAATCCAGAAGTCGTATAACGATCGTCGCATATGTGCGTGATGGAGGATTCTATAAATTATCTTTACCGGTGACCTTCCACGTGGCAACGACCCATCCGCGAATTCTATCGTTCTCCTTGCCACTCGCGATGAAAAAAGCTCGCGTCAGGAATGCAATAAATCACAAGTATAGCCAAAGTACAGCAGAAGTATAGCCTAACCTAGGGCAACACACGAGATCAGAGACCCGCCATATGCGTGCTATAAATAATTCATAAAAAAATGAGGGGTCATTCATCTTCCCAAAAATTGAACCTCATGACGAAATAAAACGGCGAAGCAAATCGTATACTTCACAAACACATGAAAGAAATAAATTTCGAAAGAATTTTCCCTGACGTTAAACTAGGTCTTCCTGTTTGCCGCGAGATTCTAAAAGTTACTTATCTACAATTTATTACTTCTTCTATATCTATATTAACAGTGGCGTTTTACGGAGTTGTTTTCTCTTGGAGATCATGGTGGAGATATCCAAAGTTGGACACGATTTTATGTATAGGACATAATCGATATGCGGAACTTTCGGTATAAAAGCGACATTCCTCCGATTGATGATATACACGTTCGTTTTTGGCACGCTACATCAGATTTCGAAGTAATTAGGCGAATCTGTGTTGACAGACTTATATAACTAAAGCCAAATTAAAGTCGTAAAACCGTTGGAATGACATTCCAAGCTCATTTCCTGCGTTACCTAGCCTAGCCTAGTGCAGAAACGCAGTAATCCGAAATGAATTAATAAAGTCTCTTCGCGCAATCGTTTATCTACGGAATAATATGAGAATAGGCAATTAAAATCTCTAATAATTAATTTAACAAAATTTATGTTAAAATCAGAACAGGTATACGTATATTTAACACCATGAATATCTTAGCACATAAGTATCCAACACATTTATCTATACTTTGAGCAAAATATGATCTTAAAAAAAAACGCAATAAACTATTATTATAATTTTCAATCTTGACAAATAATTATGGAGCTTATCGCAATAATGCGAACAAAGCTTAAAGAGATAAAAATAATGGAGAGAAATCGATTATTTAAGTATTGTTCATTATTAGATATTATGTTAAAATCTAAAGTTTTATCTACATTGATTAATTTAACATTGTATAGTTTTTTATTTATTTTTTAATCTCTTGTTTAATCTATCACCGAGAATTTATATGTGTCGAATTACAACTCTGAGAACAGTATACGAATGGAATTTAAATACGATAAGTATACGTTTGAAGTTAATTCAATTTTACATGTTAAAGTACTTATGGCATCAAGTATACATCGAGAGATCACGCATAAAACTTGCGCACGTGCGTCAACGTGAATGCACGCGCCACTGACCGATGTCAACGATATGTGGGCGTCGAATAAGACGTTGGTATTCGAATCTTTTCTCCGTCATGCAATCTTCAAGTGTTTGGCACTCGAGCCTGCCTCTTGTATTAGTCACAGCCGGTGTTCGCGCGACTAATGATTTGTCTACCGCCTCTATAAATCCACGTCCACTTCTGCTTTCATCCCATTTTTTTTTTAATTTGACATAATTGATAGAACTCTTCTCCAACTCTTCTCCAAAAGAATGTGAAATTTTTAATATATCACAAAGAGAAGTTTTTTATTATATAATATACAAAAGATAAAAATAAGTTAGACCAAAGGATAAAACCAATTGTCCATATAAAAGTAAAAATATACATTGGTTATTTTGTGTTCTTTCATGCCATCCGTCTTTAAAGAAAAACTGATATTTAAAAAAACTTTAATAATGTTATTTTATTGCATTAAAAGTTTTCAAGCTTTTTATATCTATAAAAAACAATGTATAATATTCATTATTTATTGATATAATAAAGAAAACGGTTGTATTTTTCTTAGACTGTTTATTGATAAAAATACCTATATTTCAAGAATCCATGGGACATTATAACCATCAAATTTGCATCCGTTGTAAAAAAAAGATGTAGATCGGGTCATCGGACACAGGAAACGTCATAATTTATTTGTAGCCTTGTCGGATGCCAGGCATGACCTCGTTCGGCACGATGCCTTTCTTTCCTGTTTGACAGTTCGAAGTACGTTTGGCGTTTATCGCGAGACTTTCAGAAACGCTCTTCGAAATAATTCCAAATAATTTCTCTTCAAATTAATTTAGTCTTACTAATAACTTACAATAAATAAAATCTAACATAAAAGACTGGCCTTCCTCTCGTTGTATCAGGCAAAATAAATCACTTATGAGACGCGGAGAACCTCTTCATTATATACTTAAGAACATGGAAGATATAATCATTTAATAATAAATAAAAATAACTATACATATGTGTAAGACTCGCAAGTCAGTACACAAAGGACTAAGAAAGTGGGTTACCTTAACGATCGATCTGGATAAAATAGAACATGCCATTAACATACACGCTCTCGGCAAACTAAAAGCGGAATACCATCAATAGAACTGGAAATATCCGCGACTTATTAAACCGCGCTAATGGAAATTAAAGTCTGTTTACATTCCTAAGTTGTTGGCAATCCCAACTCCAAATACATATTTCGCCGTATTTACACGTCGACTGTCCCGTTTCGGGAGATTTCGCCCCGTGATTATCTGTTTTCGATCTCCGCGGCCAACTGAAATATCGGCAATGTATCAAAGTATGTTAGAATAGCGAATGAGTAGCGAGCAAATCATGCCGGGCCATACGCGGAAATCGCGGCGTAAATATCATCTTCTCTCTCTTTCCCAGTTTTTCAGCTATTTTTGGTTGACGATCGTTATTTTCAGCCGCGTTCGTCACGAGTCCGGAACTCTCGGAGCGGAACTGAATCGCCATTTAAATCCATTTCATGGACATTAATCTTTGACGATCGTTCGCAAATTGCCCGCAGTTAAATAGAAGGGAATCAATTAAACCATACCTTCTCGGAAATGAGCGCATGATAAATGAGATGTAAGAGGTAGAAACATTTCACTACTTTAAACCGTTTACCATGAACTTTATTCTTTTCGTCAATATAAAAATTTTAAGTTAAACAAAAGAAAAAGGAAAAAGAAATTTTACTAGAAAATTCAATAGATAAACGCGACGTATACATTTGCATAAACAAAATAGTGAAAAAGTCATAAAAAAGTGATAAAGACGAAATATGGTCAGACAGTAGTTATTCCTTCGGTAGCCAGACGATTATTAGTTTAATAAAAAAAATCTTAAACTAGATCTTTATATAAAAAGCACTTGATTAAAATGTATATGTATGTATATATTTTGCATATATTAAATGTTAAGAAAATAAAAAGTCGGGAATGCGTATAGGTATATGTACATAGTTATGTGCATAGTACCTATGTTAATGAAAACAAATGGAAAAGGGAAAATAAAGGGAGAAATGCTCAAGACGCGATCAGATCAACGAAACAGCTTTATTAATAAGTGTAAGCTTTAGCACAAGCTTTAATTGCATGACGTGACCGGAATATTAAGTAAAACGTTGCAGTAGACGACCTTGTCCACACACTGACCTCCTCTGAATCACTAGAATGCTCCATCTCCGAGATGCAAAGCGACACCGTTAGACACGTCAATATTCATCGAAACTTATGGTTATATAACTCGATTAGAGCTGCACAAGATCTGAAATTACATTACTACGCACGCGAATTTAATTTTCTTCGCGATCTTTGGAGGCAGCACTGACCCTCTCGCACGACGAGATGACTGTTCGGTTCTATTTATGATCGTAGCGAGCACGTGATGCCTAGCCGACATCTTCTTCGAGAATTTGAACTGAAAAATTTCCATTAGAACGACAGTAGTGCATACTCACGATTTTTCCTAAACAAAAAGCAAAATAAAAGTCATGTATATAATTCGGTTATTTATTATGTCTATTGTGACAATTTATTGTATGTATTTTGTATTTTAATATGTCTATAGAATTTAAAGGGTATTTTTTTACAGATAAAGATTTTTGAAAATTGCGTGTTTAAAACGGTATACATATACGAGAAAATCACAGGATTAGTTAAAAGTAAAAAAAAATTTAATGCGAAAAAGCTTGACGCGCTACTGTGTAACAATTTTTGCGTACTATATTTTAATTAGTAACAATCTTAATTAAAATACCTGATACCATATCTGCCAAATAAGGTATCATATCTTCTATTGGCATGTACAGAACGACCTGTATAATCTACAATAATTTTCACGCGCAGATCTTAATTGACTTATATAAATCAATTTGGTTATTAATTGTAATTGTGGGGACGCGCTCGTCTCCCGCGCATTCTCACGTTTAGCTGGATCACTTGGATGTATAGTGACCACGCAATGGCTTGTTATTCAATTAAATACGTTACATACATGGAAAGAAAATGATACTATATCAATCATTAGTCTAATTGGAAATAAATAATCTTGTTAATTCAATACGTCAATGTTTTTGTTCTAATAAAATAATAAATATTTGTTTCATTAATACTGTTATTTAATACACTATCATTGTTTTTTCTGTGTATAATACAGTATATACAGTTATTGCTTTTATTTCTCACACAACATATAAAAAATATCAATTTTTAACATCTCTCCACTTTTATGACGCTTCCATAGATACTTTTCTGTACAAAACGCAGAAAATACTAAAAAATAAGCTTCTATATTGATTTTATATCCAACAAAAAAAAAGGAAATAAAAAATCATAGAAAAAAACGTGCAGATTTCTCAAAAACACGCGCGCGAATTACTCTTGAATTATCCCACCATCTCGCTTTTCTTCCCGCTGCATATAGTCAAGCGCGCGCGGCAGAAAAACAGCGCGAGCGGAAGATCAATAAAACCGGCGGTAACGCGCAAGATATACGTCGCCGGTGGCCCTTATCAGTATCCAATTCGCCCGATTATGCTCGGACAACGAGCTTTCTTCGCGGGATAGTCGCGCGCTAGGAAAAAAAGCACATCTTCGGACAAGCAAGAACGGCGCGCGCCGACTGCGGCGCGGGCGCAGGCGTATCGGAGCGGAATGCAGCCGCGGAGCCGGCGGAGCGAGCGAGCGGCCGGCGCGGCGACGATGATGTCGTTCTTTTGTCCTCGTCGAGGAGGAAAATAGACGCTCGCCGGCCGGTCGGGAACCAATCGAGCAGGGTCGCGGTCGCGCAGACCCGTGCAAGCGCAAGCGCCGCGGGACGTTTCAGATGGCATCGCGATCGTTTGTTCACGACCCCCTCTGACCCCCCTCAACCCCCTTTTTCCACCCGCCGCCGCCGCCGCCGCCGCCGCCGCCGGAGGCCGGAGTAGAGCTTTCCGTCTCGTCCTCCCTCGCCCTACGTTCCACCACCCTCTTCCTCGCTCCACGAGCTTGCGTGCGCGCGGCAAGACGGGAGGCAGGGTCCCGGCGGTGATTTTTCGGAGCGGAGTATCCGTCGACGTCGAATCCTCGGGTAAGTAAATCGTTCCGCGTCGCAAGAACGACCGATCGTCGCCTGGAACCTCGAAGAAACGTGCCGAGTACCGAGCTTGCGGCGGACAGAGCTTCGATCGGTTCTCGCTGCCTGCAAGCTCGGAGCCGGCTTCGTTCGCCAGCCAGTCAGCCAGCCAGCAAGAGTATCGATTCGAGCCGGCGCGCCGCTTCTCTCTCTTTCTCTCTCTTTCTCTCTCTCTCTCTTTTTCTCTCTCTCTCTCTTTCTCTGTCGGGCGAATCCGCCCTCGACTCGTCCGCGAGCCGCCGTTCTCCGAGTCGGGGGTGCCTGGTCGCGAGGTAAAAGGGTTTCTCCGCGCGAGCCGCAAGCTCCGGCAGTGAACTTCCGACGACGAGAGAGCCAGTCATTAACGTTGGCGACCGGTCGCTTTGCATTTTCGACCGAGCGTGCCGTGAGCTTCCTGGGTGCCGTGAAACAATCCCCCCGCGGCTTGAAGCTTTTTGCTGCAAGTCGGGGTACGTCGTTGCGATCGATTGACCGGCAACAGTCGATCGGTAAGTGGTACCAATTTCGAGGGGGTAACCTCGTTGCGCGATATGTCGTAATCGCGTCGTTTTAATATCTCGTTAGATCAGCGTTGTATCTTTTTTTTCCCCCCGCCTCTCAAAATGTGTTCCCCCTTCCAGTGAAAAATCGCGCGATCCCCTTACGCGATCGTTCGTACGAGCGAAGGATATGGGTGGCGAAAGGGCAACTCGCAGGAATTGGTAATTTCGCGGATAGAATGATGGAAAATCTCTAATAGTGACATCGCGAGGACATGACGTTTCGAAGCGAATAGTCGCTGAGAAATGGCCGCCTTCGTGGGGCTGTGACTATTATTAGAAAAGTCAGGCCGGTACGCGTTACGTTAAGACGCGAGCCGCAAGCGAGCGAAGTGAGAATCGGTGCAACCAATTGCACCGATACTGAATTTCTGTGAAGATCTTTTCGGCCGACACCGATTAATTCGGCCGGTCAATCTGGCGTTCTCTCTTCAATTATATGCTGTGCATTTCCCGGGATAAACAATGATCTATCTAACACGGATTTTAGATAAATAATCTTTAATAAGTGTAGCTAAAACTGCTTCCTATTTTTCTAAATTATAATCTTTGTTCCTTTTGGGTGAGAAAAGAAAATTTAATTATGTGATCAACGTTATTAACATACATTTCGGTTTAATTGATAACTTGCGACGTAATTTAATTCAGTTAAATTCTGAACTCTATAATGAATTATATTTGATGATAAATAGAAATTAAATCCCTCTTGAAAAATTCCCTGCTGCGTCGATTTCTAAAATGTATATTTTTTTTATTTAAATTGAAAATTCTCCGAGATTTTAATTACAAATTATTTTCGAGAAACTGTCAAATAACTATGTCTAATTAATTTCAGAATTCTGAGAAGTAATCAATCCGAGAAATAATCATCTTCAACGATTTAAATAATTTTCTAAGAAATAATCATCCTCAAATACTTGTCACGGAAATTAAGCGGAAATTTCTTCCATCAGGCACACTAATCTGATATTCATCTGCTTAATTCGGTCTTTAATGTCTGTCATTCAGGCAAAGAAAACACGCAACTTTTAATACATCCTGCCCACCGCACCCCACACGTAGATCGAGATTGCTAGGACAGCGTACACCCTTTATTGATCTAAAAGACAGACTCGCGGGACGGGAATTACCTGAGCCCCCGCGCCATATCGCGATCCGATTCGAGTCCGTCGGAATGCGGTCGGCCCTAATCCTAATTAGGTCCCCCCCCCCCTCAAATTGGTGTAATCGAGCCGAAATTGTTTTTCCGCCGCACGGATTACGATCGCCTCGGCGGAGATCTTCGGGGAATAACCGCGCATGCTCGATTCGATACCACTCATATTTATACACGTACGTCAAGAGAGAGAGAAAGAGAGAGAAAGAGAGGCGAGGGAGAGGGGGAGAGGGAGAGAAAGAGTGAGTTCACGAGCCCTGCGTAGGTCTCTCCTTGAAACGAATCAATACCCTTTGTAGCTTGTGAGAGGTCCTCCGTCCTCGCGCCGTCAATATTTATCGTCTCTTTAATGCCCGATCAACGCACCGCGCGTGAAACCGCTCCGATGCCTTATTAAAAGCGAGGATAAAAATTATCTGTTACAATTATAATCTTTATTGACAATGCTTTACGTTAGGTATCAATCTAGAAAATCGCGGAGGAAATTGTATATTTAGAAATTAAAGGAAGAGATATGTTTGACACATTATATCTAAATAATAGGTCGTTTGACAATGTCGCATTTTTTAAAAGACTTTGAAGAACGAAATTTACATTTATTAATTTAATATAATGCAAATTGTAATCGCCACTTTGTTTCCACTACCTGTCTACTACCGTGAAATCAATTATTCAATTCCATTTCGACAAACATGTCAGAACATGGAAAAAAAAAAGTGTCAAATCAAAACTTATATACTAAAACGTATATACTTAAAACAATCTATAATCTTCTTATAAGAATTTAAACTTTTTTTTTCTTGGTTGAACTATATAAAACCACTTTATTCAAGCAGGTTTTCTTCCTATACAATATAATCTCATTTCAAGATTTCCACGTTAAAGCTAAAGATATTTTTAAATCAAGAATATTCTTTTTTTCCGTGTAATATAAACAAAATAAATACGACATCACTTATTGAACAATCTAATAATAATATATACAGATATAAATTACGAATATTATATGATAGATTAGAATTTATCCCTCTAATTATTTATGAAGCTATTAATTGTTGTGTGTAATATATGTTACACGTTGTTGTCGTTTGCCTAAAATTAATGCTTAAATTATTACTTCCTACACGCTAAACTCAAACGGATAGATAAAAGTTCCCGCTTAGTGTCTATTTACATATGTGGATTACTCACATAAGAAAAGACTCACCCGACAGCTTTAGAGCATTCTATAGCTGAATTGTGCGTGGAGCTTCAACACTGGCTTAAAAAGCTTCCCCTTGAGTCTACAATGTACGACCGATCAGTCTATAGACAGATATTGCACCACAGTCTATTCTACAGCGAGCAACATGTTTCATATTAGAGAACACAATCATTAAAGCAAACAAAAGTCGGCACGCTATTCAGCCGTGTGCCATTCGATCGACAGCTCACTTGTGAATTCTCGAAACAACTTGTGTCGGCAGGTAGCTAGAGCCTCGACATCATGGGTAAGGAGAAGATCCACATAAACATCGTCGTGATCGGCCACGTCGATTCGGGCAAGTCCACGACGACCGGCCACCTGATCTACAAATGCGGCGGTATCGACAAGCGGACGATCGAGAAGTTCGAGAAGGAGGCGCAGGAGATGGGCAAGGGCTCGTTCAAGTACGCCTGGGTGTTGGACAAGCTCAAGGCGGAGCGCGAGCGCGGCATCACCATCGACATCGCCCTGTGGAAATTCGAGACGGCCAAGTACTACGTCACCATCATCGACGCGCCCGGTCACCGTGACTTTATCAAGAACATGATCACCGGCACCAGCCAGGCCGACTGCGCGGTGCTGATCGTCGCGGCCGGTATCGGCGAGTTCGAGGCCGGTATCTCGAAAAACGGACAGACCCGCGAGCACGCCCTGCTCGCCTTCACCCTGGGCGTGAAGCAGCTGATAGTCGGCGTCAACAAGATGGACATGACCGATCCGCCGTACTCGGAAACGCGCTTCGAGGAGATTAAGAAGGAGGTGTCCTCTTATATCAAGAAGATCGGCTACAACACCGCCTCGGTCGCCTTCGTGCCGATCTCCGGCTGGCACGGCGACAACATGCTCGAGCCGTCCCCGAAGACACCCTGGTACAAGGGCTGGAAGGTGGAGCGCAAGGACGGCAATGCCGACGGCAAGACGCTCATCGAGGCGCTCGACGCCATCCTGCCGCCGTCCAGGCCCACCGACAAGGCCCTGCGGCTGCCGCTTCAGGATGTCTACAAGATTGGCGGTATTGGAACGGTGCCTGTCGGCCGCGTGGAGACTGGTATCTTAAAGCCAGGTGACTGCAATATGAATTCTGGAAAAGTAATTAGAGTTACTTCGGTCGCGAGAATCGGAAAATAGTTGAAATATGAGTTCCCAAATTATTTATTTTTACTCATAAATCGCCTTTTGTAAAATCAGATATAAAAAGATTTATACATGGTCGAGATTTATTGATAAGTCAATCGCTCTCACAAAGCCATCCATTATCCCAACAAATCGCTTCTACTTATTTTAAACACAACAATTATTATCCATTTAATTATCTTTACCGTGACACTTTAGACGAATTAATGTAAATTCTTATAAATTTATAAATTTACAATTTTAAGGTATGTTGGTGACTTTCGCGCCGGCGGCTCTCACCACCGAGGTGAAATCTGTCGAGATGCATCACGAGGCACTGACGGAAGCCCTGCCCGGCGACAACGTTGGCTTCAACGTGAAAAACATCTCGGTGAAGGAGCTGAGGCGCGGTTACGTCGCCGGCGACTCCAAGAATCAGCCGCCGCGCGGCGCCGCCGACTTCACCGCCCAGGTCATCGTTCTGAATCACCCGGGACAGATCAGCAACGGCTACACGCCGGTGCTCGATTGTCACACCGCTCACATCGCCTGCAAGTTCGCTGAGATCAAGGAGAAATGCGACCGCCGTACTGGCAAGACCACCGAGGAGAACCCGAAGAGCATAAAGAGCGGCGACGCCGCCATCGTGATGCTGCAGCCGACCAAGCCGATGTGCGTCGAGGCCTTCCAGGAGTTCCCGCCCCTGGGCCGCTTCGCCGTCCGCGACATGCGTCAAACCGTCGCCGTGGGTGTTATCAAGGTACGAGAAATTATCTCGAAAGATTCAGGATAAAAGCAAGCTGGGAGCGAGTGAAACATAAGAACGCATGAAGTATCTTCTTATTATTACCATTTGGATTTCCGTTCTCCAAAAGATGCAGAATTGTAATTTATTATTTGGTTATTCTTGAAATTTATTTTTGTTTTTGACTCTTTGTTTTTGTCATAATGGAATATTTTTCCACTCCTACGCGAGATCAGAGAACCGTCGATCTTGATTCTTTCGCTTGACAAACAACTACTTATAAAATATTAAAAAAAAAAGCTAACAAGATATTTTAGAATCTATTAATAAGGTATGCATCTATTAATCAGTATGTTTCTTGATATTTCATGATAAATTATTTCCTTGTGGCAGAGCAATAAAAAATTTTTGATAAATGTTTAGTTCAAGTGCAGGCAAGCTTTATCCATTTTTTTTGGAACTTACGTATTTAGACATTAAGAATTATTATATAAATGCTAAAATAATAATAATCTGCATATCCTTCGAAAATAAAGCAAAGAGTTTGTTTACCGAATACTATTATAGTATAATCATTGCTACTAAATATTATTATATAAAAAACGGGAAGAGAACAACAATTTTTTGCGAGCTGACTCAGTTTTCTACGTCAAAATATGTATATAAAATGTGTGAGTTCCAAAAAATCATTGAGGCGGCACCCATACTGAATATTTATCAAATTCGCTCACTGTCTATATCTACATTTTAAATATTTTTTTCACATAACTTTAATATTTGTATTTTTCTTCGTCAAATAAAAAACACCTATGCTTTTTTTATGTCTGTATTCTGTATACTGCTGTATACTCGAAATAATTTAAATACTCTAAAAATATAATATTATTTTAACAATGTGTCATTTGTAAAGATAAAATATTTTTATTCTCGAATTTGATTTTTGGCCTACAATACTGATTGGTCCAAAATAAATCATTAATATGTATTATATAAATCTCACTTATAACAATTCGTAACGCTTCCGCAGAGTGTCACCTTCAAAGACACCCAGGGCAAGGTAACAAAGGCCGCGGAGAAAGCCCAGAAGAAAAAGTAACCATCAAGCTTCCTCGGAAGCTCGCAGTCCGCCGGCAGGTGCCATGTGGAAGCAGGCGTCCCCGTGCAGCAGCCGCAGCCGCAGCAGCAGCAGCAGGGACCCACCGTCAGGATGCAGCATGCCACCGCGGTGGCTGCCCCGCTCGACTCGTACTCGTCGACTAATACCAAAAGTCATAAGATGTTGTGCTTACCCCCGTTACATTATCCGGTAGTGTTGAACCCGCGCATCTATCCGAACCTGCACATTCAGTTCACCCATGCCCCGCGCACGCCTCACATATGCTAGGGGGAGCGTTGCCCCGCGTCTTACCGCGTTTATCATTAATTAACTCGATATTGACGATATGTGTACGGTATTTTACCAGGTACTCAGTTCCCTTGGACTCTGTGTAGTTAGGTTTTTCAATTGAATACAACACCGAGCATCAGCAAACAACCAAATCGGGGGGGTGTCGCGGAGACAGCCGCGCTCGGGATCCTCCCCCCGCTCTCGCGAGAGGAGCTGAGCGAGACAGCGGGTGCATTGCCTTTTCCCCCGTCGGAGCAGCGACGGGGGGAGTGCTTTAAGCCGCGTCGTCGTGATCGGCGACGTCGAGGCGAGCGCGCCGCTGGCTCGCATACCCAGCAAGACGTCTCTCGATTCTTTTCGAAGGGTTCATTAAGGCTGATTTGTTCCGAGACTTGGTTGCCTCGCTCTCTGTGCTATTAGTTTTTATTATACTTATAAGATATTTATCTACCTAGTTATATAGGGATCATTAGACTATGCTCCCTCTCTCTCTTGTCGTCGGCAAGTCGCCGGCTGCCTCTCCCCTCTCGAGGAGGGAGAACGAAATCGTCTCCTTAAAGAGGATGAGACATCCGTCGCGAGTCGCTCATGTTGATCTCGGCGCTGTCCCTCCCGCTGACCATAGACGCGTTCTATGACATTGTTTTGACCCTTAGCCAGTATTACGTTGATGTAATAAAAAAAAGTCTTTAATTGCACCTCCGGGTCTCTTTACTTTCTCCCTGTATCCTCTCTCATAATTCCGCGCGGCAAATGAAAAATACATAGACTGCTCGCAATTGTGCAGTTAAAATTAGACTATATTTTCTTTCCCACATCTCCGACCGATGCAAATGTTGAATGCAGACGAAGAGATCGCGTAGGTAGACGTGTGACGTAGGACGGATGGTTGACACAGAAGAAGAGAGGCCGGGTTTCTAAGGTAAATATAATTTATTCCGCATAAATTCTTCTCC